CAACGAAAAAAGAGGGGGGCAGCGGGGGTTTTATGGATGTTTCCGTCCTTAAAGTGGGCGGCAGTTCCTGTGTTGCAGTTCTCCGACTGAGCGCAACGTTTCAAGGGTTCTCGTCAAGTTCAATAATGGTTTCGGGCATCATTTCTGGCGATTTTCCCGGTTTTTACCCGCTCCGCAACGAAAAATGAGGGGGGCAGCGGGGGTGTTTTGGATGTTTCCGTACTTTAAGGGGACGGCAGTCCTTGTATTTCAATGATCCGACTGATCGCAACGTTTCAAGGGTCCTCCTCAAGTTGGACATTAGTTTCGGGCATTATTTGTAGTGAATTTCCCGGTTTTTACCCGCTCTGCAACCAAAAATGAGGGGGGGCAAGGGGCTAAGAGTTTTGAAAACTCACTTTAAAGTCGCAAGCTGCGTTTGCTTTAACATTGGCAAGAAGTTCCACTCGGATTTGATGCTAAGTTTGAAGCTCTTCTGTGACTTTTCACATTTTAATGCAATGTTTCATTGTAACAGGCCCATCCCCCCCTACAGGGGGGGCTGTGGTGGCCCGGGGGCAATATGAAGACTTCGGTATCAGACTTGGAGTATTCGAGGACTCTTTGAAAAGAGAAACGGTATGTCCAAGAGCCGCCGAAGCTACTCTAAAAAATGAAGGTACGGGCCCCCTAAATAACCTTTGGACCCCCCTAACTTTTGACAGGGGGGTCAGATCGACTTCCGGTTTGCGCCAAAAATTGTCTTTTTTCATGCTCTTTCTAACAATGTATCACATGATGGGGGTTGCCATTTGAAATTTTTGAGTTGCCCCCCGCCCCCCCTCTCCCTGGGGGGGTGAAGAACTGAAAAGTACCTCAAAAAGTTTCCCCCTCGATATGAGGAAGGACGCCACAAACTGCGAATCGATATCATAATTAGAACTAAAGTTAATGCCAGTGGTGCGTAACTTTTGAATAACCCTGTATAAATCTTGAATTTCTGTACGTTCAAATTTTTCTACATTTCCCTACGAACCTTTCAAAATCTNAATTAGAACTAAAGTTAATGCCAGTGGTGCGTAACTTTTGAATAACCCTGTATAAATACTTCAAGAAAAAGAGCCATGGAGGTATCCAATTTTTACATGCAATTAATCCTTGTATGTCCCTGCGTAATCTTGGTTGGATTCTGAATATTTCAGTTTACCACTCTAGAATTCCCAGATTCCTTTTTCCAAATCCAAATTTTTTTATATTTTGCCTAAATCTGTCGTTACTGGAGTTCAAAATTCACATATGATCAGGAAAACGAATGAAAAAGCAAGGATTTTGAATGAGACCATATCAGTAGATACCCTGTAAATTTTATCATGTTCTACAGTCAGTGAGTCATTCAAAATGTTCTTTTCTTTTAATAAATTGAAGTCTGTGATGAGCTAAACAAGTGCAAAAATACCTTGATTATTCGCTCATCGCTTATCCATTACTCCAAGTATCCAACACAACATTTTTTTAAGTTTTCCTCGTTTTTCTACACCTGTTCCATGAGGTTTTAAGTGTGTTTATACAAAACATTATTTACCAGCCGGTGTTTTCGCCTGATACCGTATCGGTATGACACATGAACTCTGCCTCAATTCATCAAATAATCAAGGAATCACTGTAAAAAAAAAAATCGTAATTTTTAGGAAAATGAATTCAAAATTTCAAGTTTCAAGAGATTATTCGGAGCTAAAAATCGAGTCTTTCTATCAATGTTTTTGCAAAGTTTATTTTGAAACAAGTTTTATTGAAAATCACCAATGTCCCAATTTCTTTTTTTTTAAATTGCCATGTTTGCCCCCTTTTGTGACCAGAGGCTTTAATAATTATGTTACAATCAAGCTGTAGGAAAATTTTTGTGAGATTTGCCATTGTCAATCTCAGTAGGCATAATCGAGGCATAATTCTTGCACTAATTTTGGTTTTATAATGGAGTGGAACACTTCAATACTTCGAAATTGACGTTAAGAACAGACGTTAATAATGTTAATATCTTGCTAAGAAATTGCATCAAGAAATTGGCATTGCACGGATCATTTGCTACAAAGAATGTCGATGAGCAAAACTATTGTGTTAAATCCAAACTAGCCGAAGGTATATCTTCAAATCAACCTAAGCACGTATACATTTAACAGAAGAATTCCCCAAGGGAAATTTTTCCTAATGGAAATCTTATTTTTCCGGGGAAAAAAGTGGAAACTGTACACTGTTCACTTCATTTTGCTTGGTTCTTCTTTTAGTCCTGCCGCCCCACAAATTCTTCTGTTACCAACTGAATATCCAGAAGAAAATTATTTGGCTGATTATACCATCCATCTTACTCTGGTATACATATACGACGAGCTAGTTAGTCTTGCCGCCAGTTGTAACCAAATCACAAAATGGTTATTCATTGTTTTCCACCTTGAACATGTTGGAGGAGGACAACATTTTTGAAAATCTGCATCAGGATTTTGAGATAACCACCTTCTTGTTTTAATTTTGCTTCATTAATGGCAGCGTCCCTCTCAAAACTGGGCAGGTATCGTCTCACCCGTGAACGTAAACGATGAAGCTGTGCAGCATTATGCTCGTTTTGCTCTTTCAACCCTCGCAAATCTACCGGAGTCAGGTGATGATGTTCGATTGGTGGAAATACTGAAAGCGCACAGGCAGGTAAGTTATTTGTTAAATTTTTCAAGAAAAAAAGAAGGATTTTAGAATCATCATTTCCAAAAGGAACTATTAGACATGCAAATCCTATGCACATAGTTCCTGTTGATTTAATTCATTTGCATATATTTCTGTTCGGTATTATTGTGTTCATTTCACTCAAAATTTTCATAGATTTTTACCTAATGAATGTGATGTATCAAATACCAATTTGACCGAAATTGGATTTGGGGATGAATCAACGCAAGTGAGACAGGACTATAATTTGCAATTACGAACCACAACTTCCGACTCAGTTTAGAAACAACGTTTGTACCATTAGTTTCCCTGTGCATATAGGTGTTGTTACGGATGACCCTGAAATTGTAGTTCCTTATTTTAAAATGAAGTCCAATCCGCCGTCTCAGAATATCATTACTAGGCATATTTTTTCATTATCTATACTATAAGCTCCGAGACCTCCTAATTTTGCGAAACTGGTGACGCTTAGTTCCAGCGTTCTACCGGGCCGATTTTCTTGATTTTTGCGGCAATCGACGGGCAATTGTCTCTAGATAAGCCAACTCTTTTCAGATTTTCAAAATATGGCCCAGGTTTTTTTATATTACGTGGTAAAGTTGCGAATTCTCCCATATAAACAATGTAAATTTATGTGTTTTGTCATAGTTCGTTTGAGCATTCTACTGGGCCGATTTCTATGATTTTTGCGTAAATCGACAGGTAATAGGCTCTAGATGAGCCCGCTCTAAGCAGATTTTGGAAAAAGGACCCAGGTTTTTTTAAAATCACGTTATAAAAGTGAGTGAATTTACTGAGTGCTCCGGGACTGCTACCGCTATGCGCGGGAGGATGCGCAGTGGTCGAGGAGGTTGCGCAGTAGGTGTGTAGCCTGCGCATCAGCTCTATACTTATCTACACAAGATTTCCGCCGATTACCCCAAGATGTGCGGTGGCCGAGTCGTCTACGACGTCGGAAGTATCCACATTGATCAAGGTGTGGGTTCGATTCCCGACTCCAGAGACACTTAATAAGTACCTGATCTAAACTATTCGTTGTTTTACTGTAATATTTCATCAAGTAGTCATTCCAAAACGCGTCCTTTTGACTTCAAAAATTGTTTTTTTCTTTATTCATCAAAACCAAAAATTATTTCATTCTATTAAGTATACCTCATATCGAATTTTTTTTAGGGGAAAAATAAAACTAATACTAATAGGAGGGTAAAAATAGGGCCGCGAAGCGGCCCATTGATGGCGCGGAGCGCCTTCGGGGGGTTGGGCCGCGTAGCGGCCAGGGGGCGTAGCCCCCTAGTTAAATCTATTTTTCCACAACACATAAGGTTGAAAAATAGTATCAAAGAGAAGGATTTTGTAAATTCAACGCTGCTCACAAGCTGCTTCCATTTGACGCAGTTCGTTCCTTCCCGGGTAAAGTATTTAGTGGGATTAAATGTTTTAGTCGAATGCTTTATCGTTATTTTTAGAATATCTAATGGTGCGGACAGAACTAAGATGAACTCATTTGACAGTGCTGTCTTAGTATTTTATTTTTAGTGGTTGCGTTTTGTCTTTTTAGGTGGTTGCTGGATGGTTATACACGCTAAAACTACGAATAGCAGACTCAAAAACAGATTCCAGAATCTGCGATGTGAAAGTCTGGGTTCAACATTCCGTCACAGATGATATCAAAGAGGTTGACGCTTCCTGTGAGGATAAACCGTCTAGAAGGAGCAAGGTATGTCAAAAGTTTTTTTTTCAGTCAGTGAAAATTTACTATTCAAAAAAGATAGAAATAGAAAATTATTGAAAATTATAGTACCTCTGTTTGTGTCATACTAAATCAGCCGAAGAGCTGGTATGCATGAGTGTCCATGAAGAAAAGGACCTTTTTGGTAAACAAATCAGAATTTAAAGAAATTATTAACCGTAGGCCAAGCCTTGTAAAATAATACTTTGTCACTCTCTGGTAAATCAATTGCAACGAATAATTAGGATTCTTGATAATTATTAATAAGTGGTTTTACTTGTTCATTTTTGCATCAAAGTCTTGAAAATTAAATTATATTTTCTAAATCTTCTTATATTTATTATAATTTTGATTTTTCAGCGATTCATTGGTGGTATTAAAGAATTGAAACCAGACCATGACGATGCATTGAAGTACGCCATGTTTTCGGTTCCCTTCCTGGGTCCTTCTTTTGGCTCCGAAGAGCGACTGAAATTGATTGAGGTGGTTAAAGCCTATTCTCAAGTGAGTGAAATAATTTTTTTCATGTGAGGACATGGCTGTTTTTTGTTCTTTTGTATTTTGACCTAAAGCCAAGGACAAAAATGATTTGTTCAAACTTGATGAACTTGAGTTATACAAAAAGAAATGACTGCACCATGAATGAAAATTGTTAGTTTAATAATGAAATATTTTAAAATTAAGGATAATTCATTGGGAAACGAAGAGAACCTCTGCTATTTTTTAAGAAATAAAGTGGTTAATTTTGAAAAAAAGAACAACTGGATTTCTCCCTTTCTCTGCTTAACTAAGTTTTGATTAGAAACCAATCCCAGTAGTGGATACAACCAAAAAGGATTCAAAACTTAGAATACGTATGATATGTAAACAACGAATATGCACGGGAGATCACAGGTAGAAGATTTCCCTGAAAAAATCTCTCAAGATGGCTTGGAGAGGAAGCATTCTATTAATCTCACACTGTGCGTGTGCGAGAAATTTTGTCCTCACAAGATTTCTAACACAAGATCATGCATTAGTATTTACGAAAACTTACTCTATCATAATCATACATCTTAATATTAATAATATGTCATCTTTAGATAAGTTACTGACAGTAAACATTGGGAGGGGAGGGGGTTGGTGCTTGAATTGTATTAATGGGCTTTTCTCCGGTGTATTTTAGTCACGTAACTTGAACATTTTTCTGACTTTTAATTCATAATCATGAAATCCTTTGCCGAAGGAGGTGGTTTCTGGAAAACTGTATCATTTAAAGCTTAAAGTTGGTTCTTCCACTGAGGACTCAAAAATCTGCACCACGAAAGTTTGGGTACGACCATGGCTGCATCCAACGGAGCAACTAACTGATGCTATGTGTGAAAACAAACTCGAATTACAGAAAAAAGAAAACAAGGTATATTCGTTTATGATTTGACGCAACTTCAATGCCTTTGCCAAGCCTAATTTTCTCTCCTCTTTATTTTTTTGACAGAAAACTTAACTCTATAGGTAATGTCTTAAAACTTTCTGTGCGTTTACATTTGATTATAAAGAATACACTCACTCAATTTCAATTTCCTTTGTTGCTTAGTTTTCTATTTGAATAATGATACATCAGAGAAAATGAAGCAACGTTGAACGTAGTTAGGTCAACTCGGTCTATTCGTCCAATTGATTCAAAGAGAAGAATAATGTCTATCAACACCACATAGTCTTGTCCAATAAATCAGGCAACGTTTAACGTAGGTAGTTAGGTCAACTCTGGTTTATTCATCTAATTGATTCAAAGAGAGGAATAATGTCTATCAACACCACATAGTTTTGTAAATACCTTGAATGACTTGACACACCATGGCAGATAGAGCAACATTTGAGAGTGAATTTTTAAACAAGCTCGCCAAACTTTTTTCCTAGAAACTGTAAACACTATTATGTAGATTGTCAGAAAACAGCAAGTATTCCCACTTAAAGTTGGTTTGCGTTTCTCTAGCATTCATATTTTTCCAGAACAATCAGAGAACTGAATCAGAAATTCACCCTAATGGCATAAGTGGTAAATCTCCGTAAAAAGAACTCCAATATTGGCTTTACATAAATTAAAGCATACTTTGAGAATGGAATGGACTCTCAAGAAACAAAGCTTACATTGAACTAAATTAGTTCGTAAGTACAACAGAAGATTTCTGGACGTAAAAACGCAACTTCACATTTTTCATTTTTATCGTATACTCAAGTTTTCTGCCTCACCCATGTTATACTCTCCTATCTCTGAATTTCAGCGTTCAGTAGGGTCCATTAAGTCACTATCCAAAAATACAGAAGACTTGCTTAAGGCAGCTGAAAACATCCCTCAAAAGAAACTGAAAGGAGTAAATGCTCTTGAATCCTACAAGCAGGTAATCTGATTTCTATTCTGATGTGAGGCATAAACCTGGTAAAATTTCCAAAAAATGTAACTCAGATTAGGTCAGTGCACTGCCGTACGGAAGAACGCTGTTTAAGCATTGAGACATTGCCAAACTTCTTCCGATAAAAAACAGGTTTGCGAGGAAACTTGCGGATATTTCTCTCCCAATTTTTCAGAAAGTTTATCTTGCAATTTAATCTACAGTATCTGAAAATCTCAATGAAAAATATACATACATTTCTTCAAAAATGAATGTTTTATAAACAGAAATTTGGCAACATTTGTATGTTCATACCGCGTTCTTCCTCAGCACAGCAGTGCTGATTATCTGACATTATTTTGTTTTCTCTAAAAAATTTCCAACCTGTGTTTTTTTCTCGGAATTTTGTCTGATTCCTTTGCCTTACCAATAATATTCTGCATTCATCAATACTTGTGTTATCTATGTAACTTCACCAGCAATAAGTTTTTCAGCACCTAACTACTGTTGCCCCGCTTGGCTGTGTGGTTTTCATAGGAGTTGAAGCTATACTTCATAGCTGCCCAAAAATAATGCTGTTTGCATGATACCAATATCAAAATAACTTTATCTCATGTATCTTTGGGGATAAACTACCCAAGTGATCTCTTTTAACAAGGTGTTGCCATAAACCTGTTGAGAGGTTTAAATAAATATACTCTAATATTGTTTGTGATTACTTTTCTTTGGAATGAAGCAACTTCTCAGGAATTTTGTAGTCTTCATTTTTCATTTTCAGCACCTTGAAAGTAACCTACCGACCAACTTGCAACGAACCTATCGTGAAGAAGTAAACACGGACAACGAAAAAGTTCAAGAGATTGCAAGGTTTTCCCTCCGAACCTTAGAAAAGCTATCTGAATCCAATGAACCATTAGAACTTTTAGAGGTCATCAAAGCTTGGAAACAGGTAATATCCAGCATCATGTATAGTCAGTCATCAAGTTATATTTAGTTCAAGTCGTATTTAGTCGTTTTTCGTGCTTAGTCATTTTAGTATATGTAGTCATTTATAGTATTTTTTTTTTTTTTATTATTTTCAACTGCCCCTGGGAAAAGAGATCCCAAATCTTAGATGCAATTTTCTAGGGGAGCGTTTCCGGTCTATGAACAAGAATTGCATGTAAAGCACTTCATAGATTAAAGATAAAGACGTTGACATGACATCATAGTCATAGCGTCTGTTTCTATGAAAACAGAAATACTAATTACATTGTTACGTTGCTTGTTATATCACATCGTTGATCATTGTGAAGTCGATTTAAAAAAATGGTATTCAAGCCTCTACCAAAAAATTATCTCCAGTGTTTAAAAAAAAGCCTTGAACGGTTCAGTACATCATCGTGCTTGTAGAGGGTCTTAATATACATACTATTGCTTCAGTTTTCACAATTATCAGTCCCAGACATGGCAGATTAATCTCAAGTAGCTTCCTCAGAATATTACATTTTTTGTAATCACAAACTTGAGACCATCATCATTTGGTTTGTTTTGGCCTTTTTTGGCATTTTTTGTGTGACAAAGCATTTGATCCTGCGAGAATGAAAATACATACCAACTTGGAATCTCAAAAATGCCCAAATTTTATTAAATTAGTCCAATTTCCATGAGAGCTTTTGCAGATGACACGTCTACGTCAATTTGAGTAAAAAAGTAATTGCCCTTTGGCACCAAGAAGATTTTTCTTAGACCAAATTCTTCACCTACTGCGCAGTTTTCTGTCTCTTCAACTTTTTAATTCTTCCCAGTTTTCGTGTTATCATGCTCACTGATTCATTTGTAAAACTCTCCTCCATGGCCTGCTATCAATGATTCAATCCTTATGAGATTCGTTTAAACACTATTTGATACTAGATGGACGTAGGAAAAAGCGAAAATTACAAAAAAACCGCAAGAAAAATATTATCAACACTCAAATCTACTTCTGTTCCATTTTATATTAACTGGATATTGTCCTTTTAAATATTTTTTGCTTTGTATCCATTCCTAAATTTATATTCTCCCCCCCCCCTCCAGCTTGCTGATGGGCTCATCTATGATCTGCAATTGAGAGTTGGAAATTCTACTGGTATTCAAATTTGTAATGCCAAAGTTCTGGTGCCAAAACTGTCCAAGGATGCGAAAGTGATGAAAGCACTTTGTGAGAACATATCGTGTCCAGCAAGGGATAAAGTAAGTGATTGTAATGTTCTGAACTCAATTTTTCTTTTCTTTAGTTTTGTTTTTATATTATCAGTATTTCTAAAAGCACAACGCTGAAGTGTAGACTAAATCCAAAGCTATCGCTTGTCACAAGTGAATATTTGACAATAACCTGTAGCATCTACAAACCCTCCCAAGATTCATTCTCTCTGTCTTCTTAGTGATTTTATCATTTATTGCTTTTAGCGCTCCCAAAACATGCTTGTCTGTGGCCGAGTTGCTGTCGACAAAGATGAGCCCAAAATTCAAAAGTATGCTCAGAACTCAGTGGCATCTCTTCAGGACTTGATTGGTGCCCCTTACCAATTATCAGAAGTCATTGATGCTCGCATTGAGGTTGGTTTTTTTCCCTTTAGCTGTAGTGTGAAGTGGAGTCCTTATCCTCTGTCGCAAAGTATTCCATCTTGCAAATCAAACACTAATGTGTAGGTATCTCAGGTTTTGATGTTATAAGTCTCCACCCATGTTTCATTTTTTCAAAATGAAACGAGCCAAGAGTTTCTATTGAAATCGTTTGTGATTTTTCGTCACTTATTTTAAAAAATCACACCAAATCACTAAGAAATATATTGATTCGTTTGCCTCGAAGAAAGGAACTCATAGGTGGAGTTTCCTAAACATGGCAATTCAACACTTCCCTCATGAAAGAACATAACGATGGTGAAACTACCAAACCACGTATCTCGGTTTGCGACGCCGCAGACTTCCTGTCATACTTTATTTTTTTAATGAAAAAGTACTTGACGTCTACTCTTGAAAATTTCTGTGATTTTTTCTCTTCGTGCGGAGAAAATTCTGTGAAAATTTCAAGGAATGATATTGATTTGGTCAACTTCAAAAAAATAAAATGTGAGCGTAGATTTTTAAACACCGCAAACGAGATACGTGGTTTGGTAGTTTCACCGTCGATAACTTTGTTTCTATGTTGCCAGCAAATTTTAATTTTTACTGTAAAATCATGGGCGTTTTTAACTGAAAATTTCACTGATATTTCATTTGTTCCCTTGCAAGAATCAGAAAACTTTCGGACAAAAATTGCGCTGGTACACACTTGAAAAAAAATTGAATTTTCATAGTCAATTTTACAACCTTGGAATGGAGGTACATTCCTTCGTCTAGAAAACTACGAATTACAATGCGCAATTTTCACATTTAGTCATTGAAGTACTCTATGAACTTTTGATCTCTCGTGTTAAGAGGCTAAGAATACAGTCGGCAAATATTTTTTTTAACCATGGTGTTTTTTGTGATGGTTTTTGGAGAAAAGGAATAGTAGAGGGGTCTGTAAGGTTAGGAAAGAAAAAGATTCCTCTCGTTGTCAACCAAAGCACTCATTGCAATATGTCCTTAATTCAATTGTACCTCTAGATAATCATTTAAAATCTTTTTTTTTCTTCTTGCAGGTTGATCAAGGTCTTCTCTATTTATTAACATTGGAGCTGACACCCATCAAATGTGCTCAAATAGACTGCTCGCTTGATGCAAAAATCTGTTATGTGAAGCTGTTGGTCAAGGAATCGGTCAAGAGCGAAAAGATCACTGACGCAGCCTGTAAAGACAAAGATGCTCCTAAATTTAGGGTAAAGTAACAATTTCACAGCAATCAAAGGTTCCATCAAGGTGTTTTTTTTTCTTTCAAGGAGATGGACAATAGACCATTGGATAGGGTGAGAATTAAAACACCACTCGATAAAATTTTGATCAGAAAAAATTGGGAATTTCCAAAATTTACTAATCTGAAAATTTTCATTTTTTGGATGGTCTCTTTGGTTGAAGCTGTTACAATAAACTTTCTTTCAGTAGAATAGTTATAGGACTTTTGGTCCAATTTGTTTTTGTCCATAAATTTTTCCGTCCCATTTATATTGTCCACGGTATTTCGTCTTTGTAATCTTGTTCAAGTGAAATTCGTCTCAGTAGATAATAATCAGTACCACGTTCTCGTTTATCCAGCGTTTCAGATCAGTTTTGTAGTCCAGTGAGGTCAAAAACTTCGGTCCATTTAGGTCAAACACAGAGGAAGAGAGAAACGTGCATTTGTCGGAGGCAAATAGTCAAATGAGGCATTTTATCGAATACCGAGGCAGCTACTCAAATTTTCAATGTTTACGAGGTTTTTTATGTTTTCACAAATACCTCTTTTTAATTTTCAATATTCAAGACAAAAAATCCGTTTAAGTACAAACTGTCATGTTATTTCCCGTTCAAAAATACTCCTCATAATTCTGCAACCGTCCAAATTGTGAAAACTCTTTATTGTACGAAATGCTGCATGTTCTGAGATAAATCTGCATTCAAGGACTAGAAAAAACGTATTTATAAACGTATGGAACGAGATGATGATGTTGCCAACTTTGCCAATTTAGAGGTATTCATAGCTATAAAATAAATTGATGCTCATCAACATGTGTTTGATACATTATGTGTAATTACTCACAATCTATCTCCACGTGGTTCTTAAGTGGACATATTACCTCACTGGACAGTGAAAAACGTAACCTGAAAACGCTGGACAAACAACAATGAGAGACCAACTATCACTAGGACGAATTTCACTTGGACGAGATTTCGAGGGTAAAAAACTGTGGACAAAATACATAGGACGAAAAAATTCACGGACAAAAGAAATTGGCCCAAAGGAACACCTGTACATTTACACAGTTCCCGTAAATCTTACCGGAAAAAATCAGCATATTTCGAAGCACAATCGAATTATTTTGTCATGAAATATGCAGAAATGAGTTTAAGTTTTTCAAAAAAAAATGTTTTGAAATAAGGGAAATCCGACTATCTTGGTCTTGTGATGGTCAATGTCTAAAACTTGAATTGCCACAGTCAAACTAAAAAGGCATTTTCATTTTAACCTCTCACTTTCTCTTTACATCGGGGTTAATCATCAATAAACTATTTCATCAAAAATTGAATTATAATCAGGAATTCTATTTGTAATTGTTATTTCTTTATTCCTTTCCTTCATTGTCATTCTTTAATTTCTTGTTTTCCATTCGTTTGTTTCGCAGCGTTCCATAAATTACATAACCGACCCTAGTCACACACCAATGGATAAACACCAAGTTATCCACCAAAATAGAGTGCAAGAAGTAGCAAACTTTGCTGTAACATCGATTGCTACACTAACATCCGAAAACAAACTGGTGCTTCAGAAAATATTAGAAGCGCATGTCTTAGTAAGTGATAGTTCGCTATACTCTAACATTCTTCTTAACTTTGGCTTTCCCAGATCTTTTAAATTTTTGACAAAAACTTAGTCACAACCTGGAACAAAATGTAACCATCTTTGGGTAACTCAAAATTGAATTATTGGTTATTAGTAGAGGTGTGCTCTACAAATATTTTGGCACAAAGAAATTAGCACTATGGACGTATGATAGTTTGAACCAATGTATTGAAAAAATGCAGTTTTGAGAGGAAACCATGTATCAATAGTGAAACTGCAAGAACGCTTGTCTCGGTTTTGGACGTTGCAGACTTACCGCCATACTTGATTTTTTAGTGGAAAAACACTCAATGTCATTTCTTGAAAACCTCCCAGATTTTTCATCGCTACGTGAAGAATAATCTACTGAAATTTCAAACAATAGCATTGGTTTGTTTGCTTTTAATAAGGTAAAATAGATGTGAAGATTTTGAAACACCACGAACGAGATAAACTTTCCTGCAGCTTCACTGTTCACACATGAGCTCAAGCCGCTATTTTTACAGTATAGAATTTTCAGATCAAAGCTCAATTTCATGCACTTTACCCATGCAAAAATGAGTTAAATCGTTGCACTTTATTCTTCAGGATTATAGAGAGCAATTCTGATAAAATATTCAAAAATTGATTTGACAAAATCCAAAAAATCCTGAAAAGTTTGCCCTCTAGACACTAAAATTCCTTGCAACTTGTAATACTTAATTAGTCTCATTGAGATCTGACATCTGTCCAAGAGCTGCTTTTAAAATGTAGTCATCATTTCGTTTTCTATTTTGTTTAACTCTTAAGTAACTTAATCGGCAGCTTTTTTTTCTCTTCGTTTTTAAATTCTCCGAATTATTACAATGCTATATTTTTGCACTGCGAATTTCTAATAAGTGCTTGTCAGAAAAGCTCCCTTTACTCTTGCAGTGGGATGGTTAGCGCTCATTGAGTTTTTAAATGCTTCTCAAGGTTTCTCCAGGTATTTAAGAACCAAGTATGGATGAAGTTGTTTTTTTTAAACTTTTTGAAATCAGGTTTTCAAGAATATATTTTAAAGTTCCTTTAGTAGTATACTTCAAAGAGAGTAAAGATAAAACCTGTTTAGATAATCAGTCTATATTTGCCAGGTAAAAAAAGTTGCACAATCTCAGCGACATTGGAATGCTCTTGGTTCCTTTTTGCAAACTGCAATCCAATTTTCCTTATGTCGTTCTTTCAGATGGTGTCAGGTCAGTTGTACAGACTAAAACTAGAAATCGGGAAGTTAAACCCAAACTCGAACTGCTCCCAACCACCCAATGAAACCGAATGCGGAGAGGTAACAGAACCAAAAATTTGCGACGTGGAAGTTTGGGTCCAAGACTGGATTCACAGCTCTAGATTGATGGATGCACACTGCAACGGCACCGCTTTGATCGATCGGGAAAAGCGCTCTCTGGGGATGTTGGTCGGTGGGAAGGAGCAAACCAACGTTGATGTTGAAAAAGTCCAAAATTATGCTCTGGCATCCCTAGCCAAGCTGGATAGCCTCAGTCAATCGGAGTACAAAACCGGTCTTCACAAAGTTGTTGATGCACACGTCCAGGTTTAGGTCCATCAATTAACTCTAAATTACTGCTGATACAGGGTTATTCAAAGGTCCTGCACCTTCGGCCATGAGGGGGGTGGCCATTTGAAACTTTTGAGTTGCTCCCCACCCTCGTCTCCCCGAGGGGATCAAAAACTGGGAAGTACCTAAAAAAGCTTCCTCCTCGATATGAGGAAAAACGTCTTTTTCCGCAAGTCGATATCATAATTAGAAGTAAAGTTATGGCCAGTGGTGCATGACTTTTGAATAACCCTGCATAAGAAAAAACGCTGTATGAGCATTCGAGAGTTGCCGAATTTCCTTCAATAAGATGTTTATTTCCAAGGAGGTTTATAAATAGTTTTGCTCTTGAACTTCTCAGATAACAGAGATATAATTGCAAGTAAAAGTCTATTGAAAGTTGGAGGTAAAATACTCACAAATCTCCTCGAAAATTCATATTTTAACAGAGGAAATTTGGCAATGTTTGAAGGTTTATATGGCGTTTCTCCTTAGCATGGCAGATTAGCATATTTATTGCACAATAGGTTGTCCAAAATTTGAACCACCCAAGAAAATTTCTTTGGAGGGATATGCCTCTTTGCCGTTTTCCTGCAGTCCCCGGTGCCCCTACAATTGCAAAAACATCATTTCAAGACATATTTTCGATAATAATTCTGCAGGGAAAGTTTGATCAGGGCCTGTTCAACGATAAAAGCTGCTTTATATGTCACTCTGAGCTGTTGGTATCGTCGCTCCTTTGACGTAAGGGCGTATCTTGATTTCAAAGTGAGCCCTGTTCTCTGTATAAGGACATGCTCTCCGGAGCTCATGTGGAAATGGAGATACGCCCTTACGTCAGATGAGTGACGGTATGATTTAATGTCAGCTCATTGACTAATATTCTCCAGCCAAAGTCTGTGAGATGCGGGGAGAACCTCTGAACATCTGTAGAAAGTGTGATCGTGTGGAGAAAGGGTGTTCTACCGTGTTTCTTAAAACTGATCATGCAAGCTTGAATCTCTATGAAATTGATTTAGGATTCAAACCATATGCTAATTGAAAAATAAACCAGAGGAGGGGGGGCGGTTGTCACCTGCAAAGACACCCCCTTCGCAGACTTCCTGTCATACTTTATTTTTGAAACGGAAAACTACTCAACGGCAATTCTTTAAAACTGCATTAATTTTTCTTCTCTGTGCAAAGAAAATTCTGCAAAAACTTCAAGGAATTATGTAAATTTGTTCTCCTTTAGAAAATTACATAGAGGCGGAAATTTTCAGACACAGTAAATGAGTTATGTGATCGCCAACTTACACTGTCGATAAGCTTTTTAACATAGTAATAGGTCACTAAACCATGAACGAATTTTGACTTGCGATTACATTTTTCTAAGGGTAAATGACTTGTAGAACTTGATGCGCACATTATAAACGCTAAAAAGTAATTCGGGAAGTGAGATATACGTAGTTCTAAGAGTGCAAATTTGGAACGTCCCGGTTTTGCACCGAAACGAATGATATCATCCAACACTTATCAGATCAATTTAGAAAATAAGCAAAATTTGCACAATATTAGAATAATTTTAGATATCTTCAAATTTTTATCTCTTATAATTTTCATAGCTCTCTGCTAAAAACTGAACCGTTTCTCTAAATCATTTTAATATAAATCTTACATAGGTACATACTTTTTTGTTCTAACTAAAGCGTTCAAAACGTGGTAATAATGAACAAGCTCCCGACGAGATTATTGGTGAAACCAAACCAAATAATTCAGACATCCCTCAAAAGTCTATTGATGATACTTTCCTGTGGAAGCATCAAAGGAAGTCAACAAAAAGTTTTATTCAGGTTTGTGAAATTAAGATGTCTGCTATTTTTTTTTTTTTTTTCTACTTCAATTTTCTACTTCATCATTTTAACTGAAATTTCCAATTACATTAAAAGTCCATAACAGCATAGCCTTAAACCCGTGCTTTTTAAAAGCAAAATCATTGAAATATTCAGCAAATTGATGGCCAAATGGGAACAATGTGTATCTCAATTGCAACTTTAAAAATCTCTGATTATGTTTTATTCTCTTTAAAGAAAACTAGCAAAATTGCTTCCTCACAATGTTGTGCGATTCTTTTTAGAATGTGAGAAGAAAATTCACAGAGTATTTCAATACAAACTGTTTGTAGTTTGCCTTTAAAAACATAATACATGAGCAAAGACTTACAACGTTGTAATCTGAAATATGTATTTTTCGACTTGGGCATCAAAATAATGATTATAATGGAGAAGATAGATCAATCAGCTCTAGTTATGAGCCTAGTAAATAATGTGCTCTCAAGATACAATCCAAAAATGTGAAGAAAAAAAAAAAAGAAAAAAAAAACCAAGGATTTGTAAAGAGCAGAAATAATCAGGATTTCTAGAGTGAATCTAGGAGTACTAAAAAAAAATACGAAAGTTTACAAATGGCCTGAAATTTTTCATGTCTCACAAAATCTTTGAATCAATTTCCATGTGCAACAAGCATCTTTACAGGTGCATGATCAGAGAGGTGAGAACAACCGTCCGCTGGGACAGTAATTATGTAAGCGTTACATCCACTTTAAAATTTTATCTGCTATGTATTACACATTTTAAATCAATCTACTGAAAATTAACTGTCATTGATCAATATTTTGTGCAGTTGTTTTTTTTTCAACTCAATCAAGCTTCCCACTTAATTACTTGTTTTCACTTTCTAATTTACCTATTTTTACTGTAAAAATTTCTAGATTGGTCTTTCAACTACGGAAAATCCACAAGTTTTCCTCGAAGATGATGAAGAGACATGCCAGTATCTCAATCTGACAATGAGAACTTTAGATGATTTGACACCCTCACCTTTCAAACTAGGACTCATAAAACTTGTGGACTTGAGAAAACAGGTGAGTCTTGCTGTGTCATCTTACTTTATCTATCAGCGTAATTGAGCTCAGATCTTAAATGAGTCTCTTATGTAAAATTTTCACGAATCTGTCTTGATACTATGATGTAAAAAGTAAGTCTACAAATTCAGATTCAAATCACGGTAGAGGTGTCATCAGATAAGCTGACATTAGTTTCCTTTTGATTTGCAGGTGCAGGCAACGAATTTACGCCTCTTCACAAAGCGTCGTTTGCTACTATCCACCTTAAAAACATCCGTCTCATGATCGTATCGTAAAAAAACGACTTATCAGTTATATAATCCACGATTTTTATGTGGTTTTTATTATTTCTGTGCGGCTACAAATGAAAGTGTTACAAGGTTTGAAAGGATTAAAAAACCTATCAAAGCTTGTGTTCTCGCTTCTGCAAGAGTCGGATGTTTTAGTAGCGATGCGAAAACGCCTGGAAATTGAAAGTAAACAAATGTCAACTTATCTAAAAACACCTCTAAAATAATAGAGAGAAAAGTAAAGAATGGTACTGCATGATTTTTTTTTCCCCCTTACAATGCGCTGGTTTTTTTTATATTTTTGGACGATTTTTGAGTTAAAATTATTGTTGAATTCTGCTCTATACCATGAACCAGCGAATTAATTTCGGGTTTTTGGCACTCTCTCTTGGATGATAACGATTTGCAATTGGATGTATTTCTACCTAACGGAACTATGTGCATTATGGTGTGAGCCCTGTCACGCATATATTCTTGTGGGTCTCAGGGCTCATGTCTTAATGCACATAGTTCCGTATGACAGGAATGCGTCCAATTTAGGAAGAGATGTTTTCCTCATGCTGATGGCTAAAGTAGGAATATATCGACGGTGAAACTACCAAACCACGTATCTCGGTTTGCAACGTCGCAGACTTCCTGTCATACTTTATTTTTTAAATGAAAAACTACCTAACGTCCAGTCTTGAAAATTTCTGTGAATTTTCCTCTTTGTGCGGAAAAAATTCTGTGAAAATTTCAAGGAATGATATTGATTTGGTCTCCTTCAAAAAAATAAAATGTGAGCGTAGGTTTTTAAACACGGCAAACAAGATATGTGGTTTGGTAGTTTCACCGTCGATGTGTATCTCAGATTCCGATGTTGTAAGTCTTCGCTCTTGTTCTGTTTTTTTTTTTTTTTTTGTTTTTTAATTAAAACTAGCGAACAGTTTCTTTTGAAATTTTCTGTTGATTTTGTTCACTCATCTTTTAAAACTTGCTAACAAGCGTAAGGAAATTTGATCAGTTTTCTATGAAGAAAATAATTAAAATTAATTGGAGACTTTTAAATGCTGCAATGGAGATGTTGCATGTGTGAGGAATTTGCGATTTGATTTTTGGTTCTTAAGTAAAAGTTCGTGAGAAATACGATGGTGCCACTGGTTTTCTCTGAAATCAACTCCCAAGCTCAAAAAAAGCTCTCAAGTTGAGCCCAAAATGGAGGGGATATCCCACCCTACCCTGAGAGTCCACGTCTACATCAAGACAAACTCTCCATGCAAAGATAGGGAACAAATACATTAGCAGGGTTGCCGTGTTTTCAGTTTTGGAGTCCCCAAATAAAATGGCAGCCCTGTCAATGTATTTGCTCCCTATCTTGCATGGAGAGTTTGTCTTGATGTAGACGTGAACTCTCAGGGTAGGGTGGGATATCCCCTCCATTTTGGCCTCAACTTGAGTTTTTTTTGAGCTTGGGAGTTGATTTCAGATAAAACCAGTGGCACTATCATGTTTCTTGCGAACTTTTACATACAAATCAACAGCCAAATCGCAAATTTCTCACACATGCAACATCTCCATTGAGGTATGTATTTTTCGCATTGTGCCGTTGATCTCAATCAATACTAATGAAAAAATATTGCTCTGGCCACTGTAAGCTCCCTGATGATTCTGCAATTGTTGAATTGTTGCTCAAGAGCTCATTTCAATTACTGTTTCTTTTTTTAAAGTTTGTTTCATGAAAGTTTAATGAAGTAATGCACAGTACATATAATTTTCATCTTCAAGTTGTCAATCAAGATAAACTGCAGGTTCTAGAAAAATACATTTCCACAACTAAGATTTTTTCCTCTCACCATCATTAAGGATGCCTGTCAGTTGATCATCCTCTTCAGAAATTATAGAGACTTTTCAATAGTAATCAATTGAGTAAACCAGTATTTCTCAGATATTTTTCTAAAGTTATGCATTTATTTAACATTTCCTCTTCCAGATTAGACCTCGCAATGTCTCCATAAGCTTGAAATTAATCGTTGGTTACACTAAATGTCCAAAATCAGAGGATGACTCCACACCGCCTTTGGCCTGTGCAGCAGAGGTATTTGAGGTAAGTTATTTCTTAAAATGTCCTAAATTTTTCTGTCATTACACTTAAAATGAAGTTTTGGTCATCTAAACTTGAAATTTTCATTGCTACTGATCATTATTTTTTCCGAAATTTTACTCCTTAAAAAGTTAATCTAAGAACATATTTGAATCAAGACTTTTAAAAAAGGCGGAAATCCACCCTTTCAAACTCGTTTTTCTTTGCATTTTTGACTCTCATTTGGATGTATTTCTGTCAAACGAAACCATTTGCATTATGACGTGAGCCCTGTTATGCACATATCCTTACGGGTCTCAGGGCTCATGTATTAATGCACATAGTTCCGTTTGGCAGAAATAGTCCATTTTAACTGGCGTTCGCGTTTTCATGCGTCTGTCACTTGCATTCCAAGAAGCGGACCACCACCACTTTCTCGAGTAATGTGGTAAGGACAACTGAAGAGTTCCAATGGTAAAGAAAAAAGATTTTGAGAAAAAAAACTCCTGCCGTATTTTTAAGTTATAATTCATTTTTTAATGTAATCATATTTTATTTTTTGCAATTTCTGATGCATGCGTTATTTAAGCTGGATATCTCCGAACTAATCAAATATCCCCTCTAGATCTGGCTGATTTATCAAGACTCAACTAAGCCCAGAATTATCAAAGAAAGTTTCCCTATATTTTCTCCTCCTGGAAAGAATTTTGACACTGTCAATAAATTTATAATTTTTACTTAATTTTTCATCCAAATTTCAGCCCAGAAAGTGCCAAGTGAAACTCACAATTCTCCCAGAAAATGAAAAAATCAACGTCCAGTCTGCAGAGTGTGACGGTATTCCTGACAAGATTTTCAATCGGAAGAAGGTAAATTTGTAAACTTCTACGTAGCGATTTGTACCCAGTACAGGGGTGCAGGAAGATCTTCGTTCTCCCATTTCTCAAGAGATCTTTGTTCTGTTGGAAACACATTATATTGAATTTTTTGAAGCAGTGAGCTTATTTTCTCTGTGCTTCCTTTTATAATTTACAAATATTCATGGCTTTCATATTAATGAGATCCGACGTTCCCACTTGCACATCTTCATTTTTTGGGCTTCCAATCTTTACTTGCAGTTGAGAAGTTTCTGTACTTTTGATTTAGTAAAGTGCTAAAGATAAAAATAAGGTAAAAATAATCAAAATGTGTGGCTGATTTTTCGCATTGTTACATGCTTTCACATCCTAAATCAGTCCACACGTACCGCAGCTATATCTTTCAAGTGATAATGAACTGTTTCTAAACTTTTGATTTAGTAAAGTGCTAAAGATAAAAATAAGGTAAAAATAATCAAAATGTGTGGCTGATTTTTCGTATTGTTACAATCTTTCACATCCTAAATCAGTCCGTACGTACCGCAGCTTTATCTTCCAAGTGGTAATGAACTGCAGAATGTATCAGTGTGGACTTTGGCCCACACTTTCAGTGTCCCCATTGTTACCCAAGCTGTTTTAGCCGACCCTAGAAAGTGTTCTGACAGTGAACACATAGAGCAAACCCCATGTAGTAGTGAACTACTGAAATGATCTCCCTTATTGATACAGGGATGGGAAGCGCCTATGGTAAAGACTCCAAACCTAATTTTTGGATTGCAATATTGCAATTTTTTTTCCTTCATAGTGAAGTACGACTCCATACCAAGGATCCAACATCATTTGAATTCATCCAGAGGACCCCGCACACTCCTTATGGGAAAGTGCACCATTTTTTTTTTTTCCCCCATTCAATTCATCTCAAGATGCTGATCAAAAGTCATCATTTCGCCAGCTTTCTACGATGCACTGTTTTCACACAATATGCCCGGAACACTTCTATTGTTCCGCGATAAAGAGTCAGAAAGATTCCTCATTTCAGCACTGGAGTGAACGGTCGGCTGTGTGTCAACAAGGAAATCAGGGTAACTCCAATACCGAGCAGCAGTCTTATCTTGGATTTTGCAAGCCTTTTTGCTTGACCATCCAAATTAGATTCGTGAGGAGCATAAAAACAGGAAAGTCAGAGAAAAAAAGTGAACGTCAAACAGATGAGAGCGGGAGGGAGATAGCCCTAGAGTAGGCAGGAATAGATAAGAAGATAGACACTGGCTACGTTTTTCCTTATTCACATCAGACCTATCCTTGAATGTCTTGTTCTTTCTGAATCTTTATCGCCAAAAAATTGAAGCGTGTCTTGTGCAAAAACAGTGCATCGTAGAAAGTTGGCACAATGATGACTTTTGATCAGCATCTTGAGATGAATTGAACGTAATAAAATATCACTCAATATAAACACAAATTGAATTTTAGTTGATATCTAGTATCTGGTACTTTTTGCTGTCTCTAAACTTTCACTTTTTTTTTCTTTAATAGCGGCTTATTGTCAATGGTCAAGATGTTAAATCAGTCAGTTCCAAAAAGAAGAGTGAAGACCTTTTACCAAAATTGGCACACCACTTTAAATTCGGGTCCAAACTTCATCTAAATCGCACCATTGTTGCCAGAGTTGAGGTAAGTTTATTATTTTCTGGTCTATTTACTTAATCTGCATTTAATCACAAAGAAAAATGGGTCATCATAGTTACACCAGGCACAGTCAATTACGCTTAAGCAAAACACATCTGTCCAGGGCAATTTTGTCCCAATTGCGTGGATGTCTCAATAAATTGTAGTTTCCCCGAGAACATCAAATAAAGCTAGGAAATTGTCAATTTTATAATTGGTCAAGTATTGCCTCAGGGACCAAGTCCTACAACAGTTTTTCGTCCAAATGATATAAAATTTTGTTTGTGGCTGTTATGACTAGGCTCCTAATCAGTGCTGTAAAAAAGTACAATCATAGTTGCTCCTGCATTGCAAGACACACAAGACAAGCAGGTGAGAACTCATAAACAGATCCAAAAAATTGGCCATCTTGTAGAGGTAAAAAAAACACACAATGATGTTGCCAAACAACCTCAAATTGTTTTTCAAGACAGTTAATCCTCACTATTTGCTTCTGCGCAGAGGGTCAATGGACTCCTGTACACATACATTCTAGAAATCACTGCTGACGAGCCATGTATTTTGGGACCTAATGGAGTCACAGGGTTGTGTACGGATGAAAAGGATGTAACGCACAAAATGGTAATCGTCTCTAAAATAAAATGCATGCTAGTTGAATAATAACTTCAGAAAGATAAATGAGGTAGAGCATAGCAGGGAAAAAACGAACATAGAAAGAGGAGTAATAGTAAGATTTTTAGAAAATTAAACTTTGGTCCTGGCTTTGCATTTTTTACAGATTATGATAAAATAGCTTTTTTTACAATTTGATAAGGAGCTCTGAAAGAAGCATTTCTCTTTTCTTGTTTTCTGGGCACATGCTTTAAAAATATTGTGTTTACCACAAGAACTGTATGCCTTATATCAATTCACATGAATTAAATTTATGAAGGTACTTAGAAAAAAAATAACATTTGATAACACAGTCTATCGAAGCGCCCTGAAATTTTTAAATTCTCTGTGTTTTGTTAGAAGAAATTCCGTTTTAAAAATTTCTGTTCATCTTTTATGCTCTCAAGAGAGGTGAGACAATTTTATAGCTCAAAATTGTCACAGAATAATCTTCACCTAAGATAAGAAAATTACGGCAGTTCTCAGGAATGGAGGTTCTCACAACAATGGACTTAAGTTCATGGAGGCGAATTTTTTTCTTTTTGATACTGAGTTCTCTCAACTTTTGCCCCCTCTAAATAAATCTTGCCAATACTCGTCCATGCTCCCTTAAGATTTGACTGAAATGCTGCTCTACCAACCAATGGACCACTAGACAAGGTACAAATTTCAGCATTCTGATATATGTTTCGTAACTAAAATTTCACGTAGAACACGACGCGCACAGCAAAAATTACCGCAATTAACTCCTTACGAAGATATTTAATGATTCTTGATGCGTGAATTCAAACCACCCTCCCATGAAAGCTCAATGCTCTACGTGATCCACATCGTGCGCTAAACGTTATCATGACAGTCTCTGCGATATAAAAATCTGGCAACCTCAATCTTGACGCTTTGGCTCAGCTACAGCAAATTGCTGATAGTTTGAACAACACGTGGTGAGAAATGAACATTGCTCGATCGAGAAGATTGCTGAAACCGTTGTAGTGCGCGATTTGACTCAAGTAGAGCCTTGAGTTTCTTGTGAGCGGGCAGTTCAAATTCCTGGAAACCAATGTGAAATAAAAACGTTAATATTTTCGTTAGGAGTTAGTTTCAGTAATTTTCGTTGTGTGAATCGTGTTCTTCGTGAAATTCCGGTTAAGAAACATGTATCAGATCGCTTAAATTCGTACCTTGTCTAGTGGTCCATTTGTACTTATTATCAAGTTTCTTGTTCATTCTGTAAAAATATCACAGCTCTAACTTGCTTTTTTTTAAAGGTGCACAGGTATTGCTTGGTAAGAGTTCTTGAGAAAGAATGGCTGGCTCACACGGAAGTCACTTTCTCCAAGTGCGGCGCTAGCCTTAAGAAGCTTCAAAAGGTATAGTGCTATTGATTACCTGCATGTTGCCTCTATCAAAGATTTGATGGAAGTTCCTTCTTCACAATCGTAGCTCTAAAGTGACTGAGCAACCAAACTAACTCTTTCTACATTATGGCATGCCTGTTTTTCTTTTCCTTTTTTCCTGTTCTCTACAACAGAGTATTTTTAAATAGAGTACCTGTATAGGGAGAGTAGCGACAGATCTGAAACTCCGAAAGTCCATCAGGCCTTCACCGATGCCTCCACGAATAAAGTCAGGACCCAAAAGGGCAGCCAACCTATGAATTTCAATTATCCATAGCGATTTACTGATACTATTGTTACGAACCGTCCTTTATTAAGCACGTGTTTGACTCAGTTTTTGCATAAATTTACTCAATGCCGCGGAAGAACGCTCATTTCTGTACATTCTTGGCCATCTTGGTTAGAATTGGAATCTGCAGACTGGCAGTGAAATTTTGTGCGTTAGAAGTTGGTTAGAAGGGTGGCTGCACTTTTGGGCCCTAAGCCCTCCATGAACCGATCTGTCGGTACTCTCCCTATACAGGTACTCTATTTTTAAACTGAGTTTTTTTATGAGAGGGCTCAAAATCTCAGCTTGCCAAACGTGCCATCAATCGTAATCAATCACAAACATTTTTTGTCCTATTTTCATTTTTCTATGCTGCCATTATCAAAACTGTGATTTTATCTGGTTCTAATTGAAAAATCTTGAGCCGTGTCTTTTAAATGATAGGCAATGCTCATTGTTTTCTCAGTAGTTGTAATTTTTACAGTGTATTTACCTATCTGTCATGTAAATAGTTTTATTTTAGGAACAACTTCGGATCTATTGAATCTACAATTTATTTAATGTTTATAAATCTTCTCCCCTGTATTTTCTCTCAATTTGCGTTGAAGATTCTGTCTTACTTCAATCAGCTAATTCATATCTTTTACGACTCTCATCTAAAATCTCTTTCAATGCAATAATGCAATATTTCACACAAAAATGTCAAGACAGTGCACAGGGAATGCCACTTTCAATTGAATCGGAAAAAAAGATACTCATCACCGTACCCATACAGGCACCTGTTAAGAGGAAGCCAAATTATTGTCATGATCATGAGCTCTTGCAATGTAAAGTTCTTTTACCAGAGAAATTTTACCAGAAAATATTGAGTACAATTTTTATCCTCCAATCCGCTTTCTAAATCACAAACATGTTTGTAATACCAAATTATTCACATTGCTTGAATTATATGTAAGTTAACATGATATCTTTCTTACGAGGTTAGGACTTGCATGTGAGAATAATTAGTAGCCTTCCGTAAATAGTCCTCATTTTTATGGCCAAAGTGAGACACGACATATCTCCGTTTGCGACTCTGTAGACTTCTTGTCATTCTTTATTTTTGCTTTGGAAAACTAGTCAACTGATTTCTTGAAAACTTTCTTGATTTTTCTCTTCTATTAGTAGAATATTGCGGAAATTTCAAGCTACACAGTTGGCTCACATCTTTAGGAAAAAATAAAATAGGAGCAGAGATTTTGAAATTCCGCAATACTGACACGTGGTTTCGCTTTTTAGCCATAGATTTGCTACAGGATGCCCAATGGGCTACTAGACAAGATATGAATTATAGTACCACAGTATTTGTTTCTTCAAAATTCTAGTGAACAGCGATTCACAGAATGGGGAGTTCGGGAATCAACTCCGAGGTGAAATATTAACACTTAGCGAGATTTTATGTGCACTGAACATTGATCAAATGGGACACGAATCACACATCATGTTTAATTCTGTCATTAAACCAATGTTGATTATAAATACTTACACGAGTTAATTTTCCAACTCCCTGTCGCGTGAATCATTTTCTACGCAGAACTTAGAGAAGAAAAGATGTAAAGAAGTGCTCTAGTTTGTTCCTTGTATTGTACCTAATCGTTTCTACAACCCTCTTCAAGCTTTCATCTATGTTTGATACGTCCTCATTTTCTTAATAGTATTTTATATGGTATCAGTTGTTTGTAACATATTTTAAGCATTACCTAACCCTACATACATGTTTTTCTTTGATGAATTTTAATACAAGTTATTTGTTTCTACTGTAGTTGCTTTAATATATTTGTTTAATGAATTTTTCTATGTATTTTAACACTGCCATCAAAATTTTATTTCGGAATTTTCTTATTGCCTTTCCTTTCATCCTTTTATACCCATTTTCAACTGCAGGACATACAGTAAGTATATCAACGGTGAAGCTCCCAAACCATATATCTCGTTTGCGGTGTTCAAAAATATCGCTTTCATTTTACTTTTTCAAAGGAGAACAAATCAACATTATTCCGTGAAATTTTTTCGGAATTTGCCTTGCAAAGAGAAGAAAAATCTCAGAAGTTTTTAAAACTGACATGAAGTAGCTCTTTAGTTAAAGGACAAAGTATGATGGGAAGTCTGCAATGTCCCAAACTGAAGTATTTGGTTTGGGAGTTTCACTGTCGATGTGTAAAAAGGCAGGTTATTCAATAATATTTTTTTTCTTGTACCGTGCACCTTGCACCTTGCGTATTGTTTTTTTTACACATTTTTACTCAAAGACATGTTTACACCAAATGTTTCATGTTCTCACCAAAGCTTATTAGATGAGGTCAGAGCCAGACAAACTTAATCACACAGAATTTTTGCGGAAGAAGTGTTGTTGAGGACTGAAATCGGCTCTATCATAGGGCCAAAATTGAACTCACTCCAGATAGTTGTAACCTCCTGTATATTTTGACATTAAAAGTTCTACATTTATTGATAAAAATATAATTTAGCCTGTTATCAAATCGTCTCACAATCAGTGGGATATTTTGCTGTCAGTATTGGTCTGAAAATTGAAAATAGCCATTTTTCAGGGTATTTTTGATTTGAATGCGTCCTTTAACCAGAACGCAAGCCAGCATTAGGCTACAATAAGTGCTTATTTTATTGTATTATAAGAGAGGTAAATCAGTGTAAAAACTATCTTAATACTCCCTCAACTTCTTGTCCAAAAGCGGAATCAAACTTGAAAAAGCCTAAAAATTGCCCATCCGGCCATCCAGCTCTCGGCCCTTGACGTCACTCCTTCTTTTGAAAAGAATTGCTAAAAAAATAAGACAATATATTATGTAATTTAACTGTCAGAAATTTTCTTTTAACTTTTTTTTTTTGGTGAATTCGTGCTCACCCTTGAATTTTTCAATTTGAACACATTCCTCGATGAATGAAGAAATAAGCTGTCAAATAAGACAATGAAGTCGCAATAGAAATAAACCCTTCCAACTCTAAACACTTCATTTCTTTTATTAAGATTCTTTCCAAAAATATCTGCTTATTATTTTTTGCAGTTTAGTTTTTATCCATCATCCAATTGCAGGATAAAGCATTTGCATATATTTACTCAATGGAAGAGGTTAAACAATTCTAAGTTTCAATGCAATTCTATATTGCCTTAAATCTCTGATAATTTTTTTTCAAATATCAAGATGTAAAATGGGTTATCGTACGAATGTTTTGCAAACATGTTTTTAATGTGTGCTTTTTTTTTTCAACAAATTTCTAAAAAACCCTCCCTTGCTTTAAACTCCAAAGAAATAAAATCGTTGAACATCAACAATCATACATTTTAGCTACACTTTAACGCTTGTTATTCGGAAAAATTGGACAGCATTACCTGAAAAGGAACCTACTTTCCCAGCTCATTCATTGAGGTACCTAGCTACCTAGGATATCTATAAAGTATGTTGCTTCTGAAAACAAAAGAGCCTGTTTTGCTTGATGCCATTTAACTGTTCGCAATCTAGTTTTGTTGATTACCACATAACTTTTCGAAAGCTAGTGCTGATTGCTACTCTTCATTCCCTCATTTCTATTTTGCTTGGTTCCGTTAGATGAGGCAGAAAAGTAGAAGTAAGCTTGATGAAATTTGTATCAGCCTTGAATTACGTCTCTCAATGCTTACGTGTGTTTCGTGAAAACAGGAGTTGAGATAACATATCTATTCAACCTTTGAACTGTCTCTTTGATTCTGAGTTTCCAACTTTTGTAGGCTTATCTCGCAAGCACAGGTCTTTTGGGTAACAGTGCAGGTCTTGTATTTGCTCTAGTAGTTACTTTCAATTAGACCTGCCTTGTGAAAATGCTAATTCTTGAAGTTTGATTATATTTAAGTTTTAAATTACAAAATAAAACCATCAAACTCCAAGTTGTCAAAAATGGAGTCCATCTCTACCTTATTTCTCGCTTTGTTCTTTGTTTTGGGACTCACAGCAGCTGCTCAAGTAATTACCTTCTAATTAATTTTTCTGCATAAGTATTTTTCATTACATTTCACTCTCTCTGCCGAGACAAAAGTGCAAATAAATATGGTAATTGTGTATACACACTTTCATCCCGTTAACTTATCAGTTGCAGCATTGGAGGCTATCTAAATCTGTAAAGAACAACAATTAATTTAAAATCCCTTTGTTCCATTTAGTTCATTGTGAAGGCATTCTTATTTTGATCAATCTAGATTCGGATTCTATACTAACCATTCACCCGACCAATTTTCATCTCCAATTTGAAGAATAGCTTATTAAACTTCCCGAATCATTTATTCCGTTCCTGTTTATTGACCTCCTTAATAATGAACTGAAAGTATTTCTGGCTCTCTTAAATCTCCAGAAGAGAAGCGTTGACCCGCGTCGACAGGATGCAGAGACAACATGGACTAGTTATCAAGTCGAAGTTTTAAAAATGTCCTTCACAAATAACATCACTTGTTTGTTACCTTTCAAAATTCCGATGTCGCTTTTACACAGAATGTTTTTTTCCCCCCCAGCCACTATCGTTGAATTAATTTAATGTCACTTTTCAGGTGGAACAGTTTTTGTTACTGATTGATTTCCAATGAGGCTGATATCTTGTGTTCAAAGATGATGAACGAATTCCGAATTTTTAAAATGTTTCATTGTGACAGACATTTTCCTCTAAAAGAATCTCCTAATTTCATCTTCATTTTTTTAATCGTAGGCAAACGTGGACCATGTTGACGAATTTTTAGACTTTGCCAAGAAGTACGATAAAAAGTACACAGATGAAGAATTTTCCCGAAGGCTTCACATCTTTCGAGCAAATTTGAAAAAGATCAGCTACTTGCAGGAAACAGAGCAAGGAACCGCAACGTATGGTATCACTGAGTTCGCCGATCTGTCGGGTAAGCTTAAGAATGCTCAATCGATCACTTTCATAGTTTCAGATTAATTGTTAAAAAGTGTTCCCTCTTTACTTTTCATCATGATGACAATGATTTGGACAGCTTGTAGTGTTGTCAATTCACATGAAAACATATTATTCTACATGATTCATATGATTCTTATTGTATTTTGCAAATTCAGTGAAATTCTTGAGGCCGATAATTATAAAATGTGCAGGTAATGAAAGTCTTGAATAAAGTGAAAATGGGCCAGTTACGCTGGTCATAGAATCGTTTTTTAATGCTTCATTCATGTAGATCAGCTGAAATAATAAGATCTGTCCAAACAGCAATTTTCTACGTTGAATATTACTTAATGGAGATATCACGTCTTAAAAAACTCGCCGTAAGACATCATTCGACGCGGTAGTACATACATGCCATGCACAATGTCGGTGGATGACGTCAAAAATCGAGTTTTTCAAGGCCCGCTGCATCGGTTTTTATTCATCGTAGAAAGTTACCGTTTGTACTGATCTTATTATTTTTAACTGATCTACAAAAATCAAGCATCAAAACACAATTCTGTGACCAGCGCAACTGACCCATTGTCGATTATTCTAACTACATTAGCCATTAGAAAAGAGTGAACTAGAAAAGAACCTAAATGTCTTCATTTCAGAATCTTACACAGAAAACGATTCACAAAGTGAGGAATCCGGAAATTAACTCATAGAGAGAGAGAGAGAGATCAACAAGTATTTTTAGTACAGATTAAATGGAAGTTTGACAATACAAATTATATCATTTGTATTTTTTCCATTCAACCAATGTTGGTTGTAAACATTAATATCTTGGTTGGGTGTTGATTTCCAGACCTCTAGTTGCGTGATTTGTTTTCCTCATGAAAGGAGGGGTATTCTGCCGTGCTAAGGATAAACGCCGTAAGAACATTCGAGAGTTGCCAAATTTCCCTTGATAAAACATGCAATTTTGACGACATTCATGCATATTTTTCCTTGAAATTTTGTTGACCGGCGCCGGAGTTTGACCCCTTTGCCCCCTAGAATAACTCAAAAACGGTTCCTATACTCATCTTGGAATTTTTTCCTGAGTTTTCTGTTATTATAAGCTTCCATTTAAACCTTGGTTCGATGGTCGAATCGAATACAAAAAAGGGGCGAAATTTTGGGAGGTTCTTTGGCAATAGCTGATGTGTCTTGGTTCCTATTTTCCAAATGCGGTCCAATTCATACCTTGTCTCTAGTCCCATCTTTTTGCATCATTCATCTCATTCGTTTCCTTTTTCGCTGCATGTTTGCAGCTGCTGAATTCAAGGCCAAAATGGGTTTGCAAGTACCTCAAAACTACCTCCCAAGAGATTTCATCAAGCAAGCAGAGATTCCTAAAATTGAACTGCCAACTGAATTTGACTGGAGAGACAAGAATGCTGTTACTCCTGTAAAAAATCAGGTTAGCCTAAAGTTTCGGAGTTGATTTCATTCACTCAGTGTTTCAAGTCTCCATAAAAGATATCACATTTTTTGAAATCAGATTAGTTTGTAAAAACGCACAAAACTAATTCCCAGAATATTTATCCAGGACATAATATCGTTATTCACAAAAATATTGAATCTGAGGCATCCTCTGTGAAGGTAGCAATGGTGCTTTCAAATTTTATTGTAAAATTTGTACAAAATTTTGCCAGAGAATTACTCAGTATTAATCTTCTGCTAGTCTTAATATTTTGCTCTGTATCTTTTTATTTAATTTAGTATATCAAAATTACTCAGTGCATTCGAACCGAAACTAACAAAAGCTTACCAAGTCAAATCAGGTTGGAACCAAAAAACTAGAAGTATGAAGCTTTACTTGCATCACTGCAAGACTTTATTGGGAATCACTATGTTGTAGCATACTGCACAATTTTTATAACACTTTATCGACACTATGAACACTTTTTTCTAAAGAAGTTAATCATTTTTCAATTTTTTTTAAATATAATCGGTTTTTGAAAAACGTTTCACTTGTATAGAAAAGAGTGTTTATCAGGAATCTTCGCCAGATTCTGGTCTCCACCGTCAGTGCCCAGTAAAACTATTGATAACGTTGAATATCGATAGATAACTCTAATTTTGAATAACAAAAAGTATTTTTGGTGGTAAATATTTCTAGGCAAGACGAAATTCTAAGAGAGATATCGGGTTGTGTTTTACTACAGGAACTTCCGTCATTAATAAGAGCTTCAAAATCCTCAGGCATGTCAAAGAGGCATCACTAATTATTGGTACTGCCGTATATAAAATTAATCTTATTTTTTTCCTCATCCATCAGTTTTCTAAAAAATTCAATTTTCCCTGACAAACTCTGATATCTGCAAAGAGTTGAAATAGTCATAAATAATAGGGTTTTTTTTTTAATCGGCACTAAAAATTTACAAGAATCAACTTCAAAGATGAAACGATTCTTTGTTAACTTGTTGAATTTTGGCTCCTTACGCTCTTTCAATGCTGATTTTAGGGCATGTGCGGTTCTTGCTGGGCTTTCTCCGTCACTGGAAACGTTGAAGGACAAAACGCGATCAAAAATGGGAAACTTATTTCTCTTTCAGAGCAGGGTGAGTATGAACTTGATGATTATACAACTTTATCTCTTTAAATTTTATCTCTCCTTTTAGCTCTTAAAACATGTAATGCATGAAATCAGGCCGTAAATGCTAAAATGAGGTATGTGCCAGTGACGTGGCGTACTTTGCGATATATCGATTGATCCATTTAAACTTCCATTAAAACTGCCATTTAAACTTCGATTTAGGTTAGGTTAGGATTGATATACAGGTATTCGCAACGAACACCTTAATAATGGATACCATACCATAGCTTTTAATGGGGAAATATTGATAATCGATTATTTACGCCTCACAACTGGTCTATGCGGTATTTTAAAGTCCTCAAATATGAATGCTAATTTTTTTCACCCTCAAGTTGATTTCGGAAAGTTCGGAAATATTCATTGTTTACCGCTAGAAGTTTTGACAAGGAATCATTTTTTTGGTGCTACACTTCTTACTTGGTTCAATAGTTTATTTTCATGACTCTTTCTTACTCAGCTCCAAATTTTATGTCTTTGCACTCACTAATTTTGAAGATAGATTTACTTGTTTAATTTTAATTTCAATTTTGACTGTCAATTATAGAACTGGTAGACTGTGACAAAACAGATAATGGCTGTGGCGGAGGATACATGTATGACGCTTACCAAGCTATCGAGAAGCTCGGCGGTCTGGAGGCGGAAGACGAGTACCCTTATGAAGGCAAGAATGACCAGTGCCGCTTCAAAAGGTCCGCTGTTAGGGTGGAGGTCAAAGCTGCCGTTAACATTTCCTCCGATGAAACAGAGATGGCTCAGTGGCTTGTTCAGAACGGACCTATCTCCATCGGAATCAATGCCAATGCCATGCAGGTAAGAATCGATGATTCGGGATTCCGCCCATGGTATGAGGGACTTTACTACCGTGCTAAGGAAGAACGCCGTATGGACATTCGAGAGTTGCCAAATTTCCTTTGATAAAATGTTTATTTTTGAGGCAAATCATGAATATTTTTCTTCGAAATTTTCAGGAACTTTAGATGAAATTGCAATCATAATTTTCTGAAAAATTATAAGGAAAATATTCTTAAGTTTACCAGGAAATTAGTGTTTTATCAAAGGAAATTCGGCAACGCCTGAAGGTTTATACGGCGTTTTTCCTTGGCATGGCAGTTCAGTTCCAACAGGCTCCTCTTTTCAGAAGTTGGGTGTTCTGAAGTTGTGTTGAAAAATTAGTGCTTTAGTCCCAAAAACTAAAATGTTTTTTAGTAATTTTGAGAATGAGTTGCCAGTGGTGTAGTTCCATTTTGCGCTACATACCTAATAGCCTTTAAAATTTAATTATCATTCAACACTTTTGAAATCTGAACATGGTAGATTAAAACCTTACATTGCTTTTTCTCATAATTCTATTCTTTGCCTTGAAAACTTCAAACCATCATGGTTTGATTCAGTGTGTAATTTGGAAATTGCAATTAAGATGAAAAAATGCATTTTTATCATCATTTTGGGCAAGTCACAATCATTTGGAATTTTGGATAATTTTTTAGCAAATTTTTTCTCATTTTTAGTTAAATTGAATCAAATTAAATCATTTCTAAAAATACGTTAAGCCAGTGTACAGGGCGATTTTGCCCCAAAACGTAAACAATTTCCTCTGCGTAGTATTACCCCGAGAACTCTGGTGCAAAAAAGGCGTTTCTCTGTTACACTGCTTAAAAACCTCTACCTATAATTTCTTTATTTGTGAGGAAACTATTGGATCATAAAACTTGACATTTGTGTCAAAGATATCATTAAATAATGGGTAATATTCAGTTGAATTCCCATCTCAGTACAAGCATTCTTTCCTGTCAAGAGTTTCAAGAGGCCTCACTTGCCTAAATTTTCTCTTGTGAAAATAGTTCTCTGTAGTGATTGATTCAATTTGTCCCATATGAAGCTTGAATAATTACATAATGTTGTCAGGTATTTTGTTTGTTATCTCAAATTGTAGCTTTTTGGTCGAAGGAATGTAACTTTATTTCAAGGTCGCTAAATTAACTTAAAAAGTCCAATTTTTGGCTGTGTTGTACCTGTTAAATTTTTGCCTAAAATTTTTCTGATTTTTGCTCGCGATTAGATGAAAAATTCGTGGAATTTCCAGTTAGGAAAGCCCTAGATTCCCCTGGTAAAATTCAATTTACGAAGGGAAATTTGACAACATTGAAATGTAGTTACGTTCTTTTGTGACGAAAAGGACGAAATCAACTTATTTTTCTCCCGTCTCTCAGTTTTATTTAGGTGGAGTGTCTCATCCCCTGAAGTTCCTTTGCAGCCCATCCCAATTGGATCACGGAGTTTTGATTGTTGGTTTCGGCGTCCACAGTGAGTATTCATTCTTGGGCTTAATCCCCGAAATTGAAGCTTTCACAAAATTTAATAAAACCAGAAACATATTTTGCTCAAATATTGAAATCACATCTCTTTATTTCTGTAAGAAACAGAATCCTTCAAAGAAGATATATTTTAGTTGTTGGTACTTAAAGTTCTCTGAAACCGAGCCAAAATTATCGGAAAGCAAAATCAGGGGCGCAGGAAATGCTTGATATTGCAATCCCAAGATCAGAGAAAATGTGAGGCAATTTTAAATAAAAATATTGACTTTTGCTCCCCTCAGTACTTTAAAAAAAAGGGGGAAGATCGCACATTTCACCCTAAAATTGAACATTTTGCCATAAAATTGGGCATTTGGTCATGAAGTAAATTAGAAATATGACCTTCAGGCATAAACGCAGGATCATGGTAATTTGGCATTTTCTTCACCTGTGAGCTAAACATCATCTATCATTGTCACGAGGAACTGACTAGCGTTCCTTCAAAAAATGGAAGGATAAAACACACCCATTTGTGACATTTTTATGTCACAATCATTACAAAAAGGCGAAAACTTCCGAGTCATTTTAGGGAGTACTCTTCACTCTTAGAAATTTTTAGCAGTTGTTCGCAGTTGTTGTTAGCATTGTTCCACTCCAATAAGTAAATAACAGGTGAAATCTCGATTTTGACTTTGACTGCAGGTCTTCATTTAAAATTTTGTACATAATGAACTGCCGAAATTGACCTCCATTTGCATGAGATCTGTTTTTTCTGATGCCTCCTGTTTGCCAAGGATTCACTTACAGCCCATTGTTGACCCTTCCTTCATACACATAATTTTTCATTCATCATTTTTAGTAAAAGCTTCCAGTGACCTGGAAAACAAAAACACGAAACAAATGAAGGTCAGGGGTTATTTAAAAATTGCGAAAGTCAGAGATAAATTGGGAACTTTCGAAAGTTAGAACATTTTGATGGATTTACAGCCCTAATCATGAAATCAATAGTTCTTTTCAACAGCCTGTAAGTGTCTATTTTCAGGCTTGATTTTTTTATGTAAGATTGAGTTCTTGACAACTCTTTATCAAGAGAATGTGAGGAGGCATCTGAATTTTTGTCTCTTAAAGTTCTTCAACACTTTATAATTATATATAAATATGAGGAAAAAACACTAAGAAGTGGCCCGAACTATATGTAACAGGGTGGAGAAATGGTGCTAGGTCCACACCGTTTCGCAGGGAAAATAAAGCCAAGAAGTTCCAAAAATCATAGTTAGAGTCGAAAATTATTTTTGACATTAATTATAATTTTTGGAACTTCTTGGCTTATATAAATAAAAAACAATTATCTATTAGCAGTTGAATTTCTCTAAAATTTTCTCACCTCTCATCATCGTTCTCGTTTTCTCTCCAGAAACTAAATACACACACAAGACTTTACCCTATTGGATTGTTAAAAACAGCTGGGGACCACACTGGGGCAAAAAGGTAAGCAAAATGTTATTCTGTTTGATTCATCTCGGATCTTCATTTTCTCATTGCAGATTACCCTCTTTTCAACAAAACCTTACCTTATTGGACAGTGAAAAACAGTTGGGGAAATCGATGGGGTGTCAAGGTAATTGTTTCATAAATTTTCTGCCAGGGTTCAGAGCAAAGTTTTTTGTTCACCCCCCTCAACATTTGAAGGGCAGCCAAGATGATAGAGTCGAGTGATGTTTTTTTTAAAAAATTTAGATGTTTGTCATTGTAAAAGAAACTCGCCGCAAGGCGTACAGTGTAACATTATTCTCCTTTGAATCTGAGTTCGAAGTTAATTTGTATCGATTTTTCCACATACTTTTTCAGTGTGAAATTGCTTTTCTCCAAATTACAAATCTGTTTATCAACTCCTTCAAACGCTACACCTTTCTTTGAGCCCAAAAAACTCCTTTCTATGCAATTTTTTAATCGCTTGGATAAGCAATGAGAATCATCCTAACTACTGGATAGTTAAATATAAAAAATGCGTTTTTCAATTGCAACGTTTAAAAATCCCCAATTAGGTTTTATTTGCTTCAAATTAAACTAATCACAATGTTCCCTTGCAATTTTGTGTGATTTTTTTTAGGATAAGTGAAGAAAAGTTACAGACATTTCAATAGAAACTGTAAGTTTTTCCTCCCAAAAATAAATCATGAGCGGATACTTATTCTGCCGTCCAACGCAAAAACGCCGTAAATCCATTCCAGATTTTAAAATCCTTCTTCAGACAAAATGCTCTATCACAAGAAAACCTAGCCACCTTAATGCTCCATATTTTAAATTTGACTTCCTAATGTTATTACCCAGTCATTCTGAAAGTACAAAGGATGGATATTTGCAGCCTTTCTTGCTGTGGAGCATTTTGTCAGAGAAAAATGTGCCGAATCTGAGATATGCATTATTCGACTTTAACAGTGGATTTGATAATGCGAAAAGTTCTCACATTTTTTATAATAAAAGACTATGCAATAGTCAGTCTTAATATCTTAATATGAGTGTACTTTGTAATCCTGGATCTTTGGATTCCTGGAAAATTTAATGGCATTATGGCACTTCATTTACCTTGAAAAAACCACATCATTAAAAAAAAATTGGGTAATGCTAAACGCTGATACCGATTTCAAGCTGTCCAATGAATTACCTATGTATTAAGAGCATCTCAAATCTCCTGTTTTCATTTTACCGTATCTCTTCAGATTAGCAAGTCTTTTGGCAGTTTATCATCTTATATGTCTTGCTTTTAGTCGTCATTGGCATTAATTCTTATTGCAAAACTTTTATGTGGTTCGTAATGCTAATGTCTGAAAAATTTGAATCAATTCCAGACTTCTGGAATTTAACTGATTGGTTTATTTTATTTTTCTCAGGGTTACTACCTTGTCTACCGCGGTGACGGAACCTGTGGGGTGAACCTGATGGCTTCCTCAGCTGTTCTGTAGTGATGATGAATTTTGAAGCACAAGCTAGGAACTAGAAGATCAAAGGAAAAACAAAATTCTTTAGTGCCATTTACAATTATTTAAAGTGAAGCTAAAATAATATTCGGGGGGCACCAAGCTTTTGGCAGTCTCGGTATATGTAATGGAAGTTTAGGCCGAATCTTCCAGAGGGTCAGATATAGAGGCTCTTATTTCAAAAACTTTGCTAGTTTATCCACTTTATACTCGTATTGGAGTGATTTAAATGCATATTTGATCTCAGTTCTCCATGAAACCCTCTCAGAATTTCTCGCAAAATAGTGATTTCTCCACCTTCCAAATTTTTTAGAGGGAAATGCACCTGCATATTCTTGAAGATTCAAAAATTGTTACACTCTGGCCATCCCCATGGCAGAAAGTGGTTGTGAAAATGTCACAGCATTACTGTCAAATTTATCGGTGCAGCGATGTTTTTGAAACCGTCTTAATAACATCATTTTTATCAATTACTGGGTGGGCAGCTACGCTCATACCCTTGGCAATAATTTTAGGGCTCTTTTTTCTTGTCCTGAAACAACTTTTTAAAATGAGCCAGGATAATTCCTGCATAAAACTGACTTGTGTTACATTTTGTAATGAAAGCATTACTATTTGGATGGAATCATTTTTAGTGGACAAAAGGTTGGATTCGAATTGCAGCTTATTTAATTTTAAGAGACTGAATTTTATGTACTCATATTTATTATTTCTCCTTTAATTTGAAAGCACAGTCAATGTACAGTTGTATGTTTGAGGTTACTGGTTATCATTGCCTTTGGTGTAATTTCCCCTCAATTTTTACCCATTACAATAATTACTTTTTTACTGTAGGTTATCCTTTCCCACTTCAAAGCAAAGTACTAAAAGACTGGGCATTTAAAAATTAGGTCAATAGGTTGTTTTGGTTTTTGTTTGTTGTTACTGATGCTTATGATATCTCATCAGGTGTAAGCGTAATTTTGTTTACTGCGATTGGTTCAACAAAATTCAGTGCCATTCCTTTTTTGTGATCTTTTTATCAATTTTTTACCAATTAGTTATATTTATTTTAAATACAGGTTTTATAAGTTAACAGTACCGTTTTTGTCATTTTTACGGATTTTCTCTCGGGATAGATACCTATTTAATTCATTCTCTTTTCGACTCCATAGCCATTTTGGGGCTTACCATAAATTAAAATATAAATGGAGAACATAAAAATAAAAGATCAAGAAAGTATAACGAAAAATGTACTTTTCTATAAATTATCATGGGATTATTCTGTATTGTACCAGATTAACTTACAAGCTAAGGAGCTGGTTTCAAAAAATTAGGAATCAATCGAGTAGGGTTATTAAACTGTTCATAAATTCCCTCAGAGAATACCAGAGTAAAGTAAATTGATTCTCTCTCTCTGAGCATACTCTAAAAAGTAAAAAATATTATTAAAAAAACAAGCAGCATGGCAAAAATCAATCCCTGCAATCTGATTGTTGAGCTTTACACTGATACCGCAACACATCAAAGATCAATATATTTCACAACACATATCGACGGTGTAAGTCAGCAATCACATAACTGGTTTGCGGTGTCTGAAAGTCTCCGCCTTTATGTTATTTTTTTAGGGAGAACAAATTGACATCATTCTGTGAAGTTTATGCAGAATTTTCTCCGCACAGAGAAGAAAAATTCACGGCAGTTTTAAAGAATTGCCATTGAGTAGTTTTCGTTTAAAAAATGAAGTATGACAGGAAGTCTGCGACGTTGCAAACCGAGTTACTTGATTGCGGACTTATACCGTCGATGTAAGAGCTACATCTTGTCTTATTTTGCTGAAAAAACCAGGCTTAGTTTCAACAGACAGACTGCTGAAGAATTGAGGCAGTTTGTCCTATTTTAAAATAAAACCGACTTTAAGCACATAGGTATTTATATTTAGTTCAATTTTTAAGAAGTATCAACATGTGCCTCTGTTGACTATGAAAGACAGTTGTAAGACAAGGGTGTTTAATCATGTATTTTGGTGATTAGAATGCTTGTTTTGAATTTTTTTGTTCTCCCAAAACATATCCATTTTGAACTCCTTCCGACTACTAGTCAAATTTCAAATTTCGCGCCTTTCGTTTAAGCGAAGTTCTCTACTCCGCCACTACAGGATTAGAGCAGCACTTCTGTTCTGAATTTTTTATGGATCGTGAAGTAAATAAAGTAGAATTCTAGGTTATGTGTTTTATCTAGATCAGTTCACGACTTTTATCATTATCGTGCATTTAACTCGAGGGATTTGACTCACGAAATACAGCGGACTCAAAATTTCATCGCAACTACCTGTCAATCTGGATCTCCAAGTGTTGTGGTCCCTCAAAGGTTTTCTAAATTCCACTTCCTGGGTAGAAAGCACGATCTAAAACGTGAGTAATTGTTTACTTGCAGGTTCTCATAATCATCCCCTCGTACATCCTGTACCTTTCACATTACCATAGCAACATTATTAATGAACTGCATAATTATTGCTCTACCATTCTGCTGGAACACTTTCAGCTCTCTAGTGCTTGTTTTCAGTTAGTTTTCAGTACCTTTTCCTTTGTTTACTGTCATTTCTTTATCTTCTAGCCCAAATTGTGGGAAAAATGAGCGAATCCTTTGTTCCAAAAAGGAAACAAACTCTACTCGAGAAATATGACGTACCATTGGAGAAATTATCATTTGAATTCATTAAAGACTGTTCGGATTCCAAGATGCTGGAAAAAATTGTCAAAATCCTACGGTAATCCAACCGGTTTGCTTGATAACATTAGATGGCACTGTCACATATTTTTTCCGTCTTACCGATCATCAACTGCATGATAGTATTTGCACACAACATTTCACACCTATTGTAGCTCAAAATGACAGCTTATGATGCCGTAAATCAGTGCATCATAACTCTCTCAGTTTTTAGATTATTTTACTTTTCTTACCCCCAATTTGCCTCTGCCCTGACATGCTTGAATCTGACAGCTTAGTGTGAAGACATCAAAGCTATTATTTTAAATGAGATTTAAACCTGGTAATTATGTTTTATTCTACATTTGTATTTCACTTCCACATTTACGAACTATATTAGTTTTGTCTCGTTTAATCTGTGCAAGTTACCAATCCTTGCACCAGATCTGTATTAGGTATTCAGTTTTGTTGAGCAAAGATGAATTGATTCAGTCTTGTTTTCAGATTCATCCTCATTCCTCAGAAAGACATAAAATTATCGTGACTTGTTAAGTTTATTAAAGAACTTTAGCACTGGAATGCATGGACTTGTAAGCGTGAATTATCAGAAAAGATCGTTGTAAAAATTGCACTAGACGGCACATAAAAAGCAGAGTTAAGAGGTCTCCTCTCCAATGGACCACTAGACAAGGTACGAATTTAAGCATTCTGATACATGTTTCCTAGCCAGAATTTCACGCAAAGCACGATTCGCACAACGAAAATTACTTAAACCGACTCCAAACAAAGATAGTAACGTTTTTATTTCACATTGGTTACGAGGAATTTGAGCTGCCCGCTCACAAGAAACTCAAAGCTCTACGTGAGTCAAAGTGCGCACTACAACGGTTTCAGCAAGCTTCTCAGTCGAGCAATGTTCATGTCCCACCGTGTGTTGTTCGAACTATAAGCAATTTGCTATAGCTGAGCCAAAGCGTCAAGATCGAGGTTGCAAGATTTGTATATCGTAGATACTGTCATGATACCGTTTAGCACGCGATGTGAATCACGTAAAGCATTGAGTTTTCATGAGCGGGTTATTTGAATTCACGCATCAAGAATCATTTAACATCTTCGTAAGGAGTTGATTTCGGTAATTTTCGTTATGTGCATCAAGTTCTACGTGAAATTTTGGTTAAGAAACATGTATCAGAATGCTGAAATTCGTACCTTGTCTAGTGGTCCATTGCTAGACATTACCAATTTTATTCTTAATTAGTAAAAACTGGAACTTGATACTATTTTTAATGGCCAAGTTGCAGTTTCAAAATCCTGTAAACGGGAATCCAAAATCCATCAAGGAAAAGTGGCAGAGTAAGACCATCAAGACAAAGAATATATCATCCAATTAATTCCTCCGACCATTTATGTTTTTGAGCAGATCGCAGGAGGAGGGTTACTATCCTCAGTTACAGGAAGCAGCTGAAACTCGTCTTAGAAAAGTAGATCCCAGCCACAAACTTCTCCGAGTCTTGGAACCTGTAACAAAAAGCATATACCCATCAGCAAGCACAGTTCAAGCTCTGCAAGATCTGCAGGTAAATTTTTCAAGTTTTTGTGGAAGGATGATACATTGACTCATAATACAATCTAGACCGCGTTGTAGGCCTGACTAGAGTCCCTTTATGCTGAGAGTCAAGACAATTCGGCTCATGGATGTCACAAACGGGAATAAAGATTACAGAAATTGAACGTTTTTCGTAATCTTTGATCGGCCCATTCTCTAATGCCTTTCTCCGTTCCTCCTCTCATTCAGTTTGTTCCTTGCCGAACCTGTAATTCCCTGGTCCATTCCAGATTATAATCTTTGCAATTGGTGAAAATGTAATCTTTATTCCCGTTTGTGACACTGTGGAGGCCTAAAATACGGGAACCAATCAGAAATGGATTCAAATTGTCTTGACTCTCAGTATAAAGGGACTCTAGGCCTGACTTTAGGCAGGAGAGGTAAGACAGTGAGGGGGGTAAAGCGAGGTAAAGACGCCTCTTCAGCTTATTCGATACAACCTGATATACACGTAGTGCCGACCACGACTTGCGATATCACTCGAAGGCCTATATTCTCAGCGCTGCCACTTCGGCACTCCGTTTGTCCAACCTGTAGTAGAGTGTACCCTGACAAAGGCACAGGCAACTTGGCAAGCTGGCCGGCACTACATGCAACCGGGGTTGCCTGTCCTTTCATTAAAAGATCCTAGCGCGAGGTCTAGATTGTATTATAAGTCAATGGGATGATATCATAACAGGTCAGGGTTGCCGCAGTCAGGGAATACCGGGCAATGTAAGGGAATAACAAGTCAGGGAAAACCTTGAAATGTCAGGGATACATTCACAAGCACCCTTATTTGTTTTCCAGAATAGGTTTGACGTTTCAAACAGCGAGTTTTGCCCAAAAACTAATTCTAATTATGTCTTTTTGACCATCTGTCATATCTTCAATTGTCAGGGAATTTCACCAAAATGTGCCAGGAAAAGCGGAAAAATGTCAGGGAATTTCATTTTCTAGATTTGGTGGCAACCCTGCTGACCCATTTTCAAAAACGACAAACTTGCCAAACAGCCCCTCAAGCCAAGTCGCGCCAAAATGAAAGGAAATGGGTTACGATGTTAAAATGTGGCCTAATAACTCTTCATAGCTCCTAGTTACACCTCCTAGCGGTAGGACTCAAATATTTTCTATCGTTGCCAAGTTACAGCAAAATTCCAGGGTTTTTTTGGGTCCTTCCTCGTATGTTGTTGGCAGTAGCATGAAATTGAGTTTTTAGAATTTAACAAAATTTTGATGCCTATCACATTTATTTTACTTGAAAGTTTTCTCATTCTCATGATTTGAAAGATACAAAATAGTGGAACTTACTTTTTGGATGACCCTCTAACTTACCAGGTTGCAATCAGGAAAACAATGCATGTATTTACTTCACCAACTTTTGGAAGTTTGTTTATACAGCTGTAATTATTTTCCAAATGTGTTCCTTTGTTCTAGGAATGGTCTTCTAAAATCTCAGCTGTTGATAAAGAATTATCTCATTTGAAATACTCGACAATGCCAAGTTACCCTGAAGTGAGAAACGCTTCCTGTAGCAGCAATATCAATGTAAGTTTTTTTTTTATTCTCATTCGTTGCATCATGACTGGAGTAAAGTCAAAACAGCAAAAAAAAATTTGAATCTCAAATCATTTGACTTAGCTCTCAGATCCGAAAAATTTTAAAATTTCAACTAAAAACAGTAAAAAGTCAGGAAATTTTATGAAGAATACGACGTTTTTTTCTCTTGCTATGTATCTATCTATCCTATGCATTTTTATGATTGTCAGGGGAAAGATTTTTAAAAAGCTTAAGGTCAGACACTCAATATCAAGAGAACATTAGTACTCAATAGATCGTATTCGATAGCAGTCCGATGTATCGTTTGGTTCAAAACAATAGAACATTACCTCAGATACAAATTAAAGGATCTAAATTGGGAAAGCTGAAAATGAGAAAATTCGTATAAATTTCACTTTTCATTGTCATATTGTACTTAAAAGAATAAAAAATCTATCACAAAAAATCCGCATTCCCACAGATTGCTCAATTAACTTCTGAGGCTATGTTTACACGTTAAACCAATTGATCTGAAAACAATCTCACTTATTTGATGTATCAAATACAATCCACCCAAAAAGTTCAAGAAGTTTTACCATTTTGATCCAGAAGTCCAGGAAACCTAAAAAAGAGTCAATAAATTTTCTTCCTGAAGTCATCAAACTTTTTAGGTGATGATTCAAAGTTTTCAGTGATAAATTGTAAGAGCTTCAAAAAACAAATTCAATTTTATTTTTTTCAGACCTCTGAAACAGCGAAAACCAAGCGAACTACCAAAACAACCGATTACTCTTCCTGGGACAAGTACGATCCAGATGCTGAGCTTCTGAAGTTAGAAGTTGAAGAAGAGAAAAAGAAAGCTGAGCGGAAACGAGAGAGGGAGAAGAAGCAAAAAGAAGAAAATGAAAGGCGGGCAGAAGAGTTATCAAAGATGTCCAACGAAAGCAGTGAGTTTTTCTCTTCTTTTTTTTACCAAATGGTAGACTTAACGAAGTATTCAAAATAAAGAGAAGGGTAACATACCAAAACTGAGTACATGTGCATTTTTAGGATGGTAAATTTTATTTTATGTGAAGATGAACATTTTGGATGCATTTCAGGCTTGGCCACCTTTTCAGCACAATTATTATGAATTATTATGCATACGAAATATCATAATGCATCATAAACGATCAAAATGTAGGAAATAGTATACAGGCAAGTAGAAAATGCTCAATGAAAATTTGAAAAGGCTTTTAAAAATTTAGAAAAAGGGACAGTTTTTAAGAGTCAAAAGTCGTATAGCAAAAGGAGGTTAGGTGACTACAATCGACAATGACAGATGGCTGGATTTATATTTACTTAACCATTTAAATGTACACGAATTACCATATTTTCTATTTACTCGTATCCACTGACCTAGAGTGGTTTTTCCCCTCAGGATTAATTTTTTCCAACATCAGATGAAAGAATTGAAGTGTGCTAAAGCTATGAAAATTTTGAAAAAATTGCTTTTTAACCAACATGAGTTTTATTCATACTGCTGAGAAATTGGTCAAAATTTTCTTGTAGTATTCGAAGAATCTTACTTAATTCTAATTATTTACAATATTTCAGAATGTTTACATTCAACGCAACCTTAACCCATATTGAACTGAAGAATGCACTTAGTCCTCAACCACTTGGACGCTAAAAGGAACTACGTTGCATAGCAACCGTACACACATAATTCCTTTTAGCATAAATACATCTAATTTGGCCTTCCACAAGCCGCAGCCGGAACAAAAAATGAACAAGAATGTTTGTTCTTTATCCTCCTTCTATAATATTCCATTTTCCCTCCAACAAAAGGCTGATCTTTGATTTACTCTTTTGTGTATAGTGCTACTGGCAGCAGCAGAGAGAGAAAGAATTTCGGAAGAAAAACGTATCAAAGGCAACGAATACTTTAAAGCGAAAGACTATCCTCTGGCAGTTAAGTATTATTCCGAAAGTATAGCCATTCAAGACACTGCAGCGGCATATTGTAACCGGGCCCTGGCTTGTAAGTAATTTGATATTTAAAAAAATTAATGGAAAGTGCATTTAATCATTTTATTTTATTTCATTTATTTGTTTATTTTATCATATTTTATTTATTTTCAACGGGCGAACCCAATTACAAAAAGCACAACAACGCAAAGGTAGTAAGAAGACAGTAAGATGAAGATCAGTTGAATGAAAACAACATAAATTAAAGAGAACAACAAAGCAAACAAGATGACAGAAATTAGTTGAACACAAATAAAGCGTCCTTGGCCTGGCTCTGTTAACAAACAGACATGTTAGACAAAAATAAAATTTATTTGTTTGACTTTCATGAGTTTTGGTGCATAAGCGCTGCCAAAATTAGCAAAAAGTGATGATTTTCAATTGGGCTTTGACCATCAAGATACGACTTGGGGCGCTTTTGGAAAATTGTCTTGTTTGGACCCATTGAACACTCCTGCAGTCTGGCCGTTTAACTCTGGGACACCCTGTATACTGATATCCTAAAAATATCTGAAAATTTTGAGGAAATATATGCATAATATTCTTCCAAAATAATTTTTAATCAGAGTTTCTTGGCAACATTCGAATGTTCATACGGCCTTCTTCCTTAGCATGGCAGAATAGTATAATTACCCACTTTGTCAAACTATCACAAGCTCCATTTATGCTGAGATTCTATGTTGCCAGACCTCTCAATATTGTCTCAATCTTTCTTTTAAACTTTTGCGCATACCCTCATGAAAGTTTCAGAGATGAATCTGAATGGCAATAAAAATATGAGGCCAAATTTCCAAGTGATTATGTTCATTAGTTTTTTCGTAAAAAATTGGATAAGTTTGAGCGTGCAGATGCACAGATAGCGCTTTCAATTCCTTGGCCTGGAAGTGATGACTTCCCATGAGAAGATAATTCCTGGTGCTCTGAGGCAGATTTTAAAGGTTTAGCAATTTTACTCAAGTGAGGACCTAAAATGTGAACTTCTAGTTTTTGAGAACCCCCCACCTTCCCTCCTCTCAGAAAAATTAGTCAGAGCATTTACTTGGGTTTTGCTCTCATCAAGAGTATTTCTATTCAAAAATGTTTAGTCCTCAACGAAGTAGATTGATATTTAAAATTGGTTCTTCTTAAATGAACAACCTTTGATCCACAAACTTTAAAGCTCCTTATTCCGGTTTGATTTGATACTTTAGTATATTTTTTGTGTAAACGTTTATGAAACAATGTCTGACGAAGTGGCTGCAAAATTTCAATTTTAAAGTCTGGCACTGATGTCTCTTGCTCATTGCCGATCACGGGATTTGAATACTCAACTTATTTTGAACTTTTTACAGATATGAAACTAAATGAAAACTACCTTGCAATCAATGACTGCTCTGCATGTTTGTACTATGAACCCAACAATGTCAAGGCACTCTTTCGGCGAGCCCAGGCTTTACAATCTGAAAAACAGTATCATGCGGTAAGAAATTTTCCTTGCCTCATTGATAACCCCATAGTATTCAGGTATCTCTGAATTAGAGTCCCTCTTTAGGGAGCGATGCTGACGGATGTCACAAACCGGTATAAGGATTACTCAGTTTGAACGTTTTTCGTAATCTTTGATTGACTTATTCCTGAATTCTTCTCCTCTGTTCCGTCTCTCATTCTGTTTGTTCTCTGATGCACTCCTAATTCCCCATTCCATTCCAGTTTATAAGCTTTCCAATCGATGAAGATGTTATTTTGATTCCAATTCGTCACACTCACACTGTGGAGGCCTGAGATATGAGATCAAATCAGATATGGATTCCCCATCAACGTTGTAAGTCCACAATCACATATCTCGTTTGCAGTGTCTGAAAATCTCCCCTTCTATGTTATTTTTTTAAAGGAGAACAAATTAACATCATTCCTTGAAGTTTTAGCAGAATTTTGCCCAAAGAATTAAAATCACAGCAGTTTTAAGGAATTGCCGTTGAGTATAAATTGCCGTTTTCCGTTTCAAAAATAAAGTATGACAGGAGATCTGCGATGTCGCAAACCGAGTTATGTGATTGCTGACTTACACTGCCGTTATGTCTTGACTCTTAGTATAAAGGGACTGTAGTCTGTGTAAAAGAATCTTTTTGAAAGAGAAACATGACTAAAAATCGCTTGTAATCCAGGGTGCACTTCATCAATGTCTCATGTGCTTGCGTAGCAGCCTGTTACAAATCTCCCATAATTTCCAAATGAGACCGCATTTATTCCTAATATTATGCTAATTGCATCTTTCAGATCGCAGTAATTATGTTTCTGTGTCGAAAATCTCATTAGGAACGGTTAGTTCTGATTTCTACACTTTAAAAAACACCTTATCATTAAACCAGGAGGGCTAGTTGTGAATTTTTGTCGATTATTCCACCTCCCTTAAATTTTAAATTTACTTTCTATTTGAATTTTTTTCCAGGCAATCAAAGATGTCACATATCTATTGGAAATCGAGCCTAGTAATTCTGCTGCGATAACTTTAAGAAATTCATTGTTAAATCAAATTGGAGCTAATCAATTAGTTGGAAGGAGAAGTATTTTTAAGAGGAGGTAAAGTATTCTCATCTCTCTATCATCTTTTCCGGAGGTTTTTACATCGAATGTGGTGTTTATTTTTGCGAGCGATGGAAGTATAATGTTTTATGAAAAGTTACGGTATCGGAACTTTTTCACTGTTACAGAGTTGTTCAAATTATTTTTAGATGTTGTTTCTGAAAATTTGAGTATACATGTTGAGGTTTTTTCATTCAGAAAAATACAGAGATTTGCATTCATGTCATGATTTACTGCCTTCAACATGAAGAATGAAGGAAGCATTAATTTTTTTATTACAGTCGTATCTCGGTCTAACGTATCTTCAAATAATATTTCCTGGTATGATTTATTTACTAAATACTTTCTCTTTTTAAATTACATCTCATAAATTAATGACGTAATTTCTCTTGCTTCTTCTTTTAGGATCATGGTGGAAGATGATGAAAGTTTCTCAGATGGTTGCGTAAAAATCATTGAAGTTTCGGACGATGAACTTCGTAAATTCAGCAGATATGAATATGTAGAACTGAATGAGAAAAACCAGCTAAAAGAAATGTGCATGTGTAGCTTAGATGTCAACTATCACAGGCGTTCAGAAGAAATCTTCCGCACTGGAAATTCACTTATAAGTTCTCCATTCTATCGCATCACACGCGTCAAACATTGCTATCCAGTCAAAGTTGACACGAATAGACCCAGTACTTCCGCAATTATTAATTCAAACTACCTACATTTTGGAATAAACACAAATTATCGAACACCTGTGAGAAATATATTTGTCGTTCCAGATTCGGAGAAGAACCTAGCCCTCAACAGCAGCAATCTCAACCAGCGCAGTTCAAGTGCAACGTCCTCTACGAATCTGAACAAGATGTTCGATTTTAGACCCAAACAGAATATCAATGAGGCAATAACATCTAAAGCGCCCCTCGGAGAGAGGCACAAAGGCGTTTTGAAAAACGATCTTCAAAAGATCATGGAGGTTAGTCGCGGTATCGCTGAAAAAAGAGTTGATAACTTGTCAACGCGGCTAGAAATATTAGAAATTGACTCTTCAGTGACAAACGGTGGAAAAGCTAGCTCGAATGGTTTCATAATCAATGAGAAATCGGAATCGCCGAATGTTGTAAATAGTGTAAAAAAAAGTAATGCTCCTTGTGGCAGCGTAAGTTCACTTGGGGCAGGAGAACCTGGTCCTGAAAAAGCATCAGAGCCTCCGAGTATTGTTAAAGACATATCCAATGGCAGTAAAGACACAGCAGATAAAAGTAAGGTTAAAGTCAATGGATGGATAATGGACAGCACGGAGAAAGAGAAGGACTCCAATTTAGTCAATAACAACGGTCCAATTTCTACTCAGTGTCATGTGGAAGGTGAGAGTGGCTCGTGTGGTAAAGAAAGACCAAAAATGAACGGATTCAAGCACTCAAATGAAGATTTAGTGAAAGATACGGAAGTGTGCAAAGGAAGTGAGCAGAGTAGCGGAGTAAAGTCCAACACAAGTATGGTGAACGGTCATTGCTCTATCAACGGTTTGACGCCTTTCCAATTTAGGAGTCGGTGGCAGAATGTGGAGAAGTCGGAGGACTTGTCAGAATATGAGATGCTTTTACGACAGGTTAAACCTTCTGCTTTATCTTCAGGTGAGATATTTACTTTTTCTAATTGTTGAGTCTTGAAAGGTTTCATATCTTTTTTCTGAATCTCATCGGGTGCTGTAAAAAGGATTTCCACAGTCAGAGAAAACCAGGAAATGTCAGGGAATTTTGACAAGTCAGGGAAAACCTGAAAATGTCAGGGAAAATGACAAAAGTGTCAGTGAAAATTTGTTAAGTCACCTTTATTTTCTATCTAGATAAGTTTGACGTTTCAAACAACAAATTTTACCTGAAAACTTCTCAAATTATGTCTTTTTAATCATCTGGATTAACTTCAGTTGTCTGAGGAATTTTACCAAAATGTATCAGGGAAATATCCAGGAATTTAATTTTCTAAATTCTTTGGCCACCCTTTGTAAAATTCCAAGAACGCATGGACAGCTACAACTTCACTCAGCATAATTGCATGAAAAGTTGCAAACTCTTTGCTTTTTTTATTTAGTAAGAATTGGTGTAACAGGATGTCTACCGGTCTCTAAAAGTCCCCGATTTTGGAAGGGTGTCCCCAATATCTCCGAAAGTCCTCAATTTTCTTTTTCAGGTCCCCAAAAAATGACTAAAATCGTCCTGAACACTGGTATTTTCAAATTTTCCCGCCAGCTGTGGTGGTGCGGTAGAACCAAGAATAAAATCACTGACGTGTTGCTTGATTTTCCGGATGTTTTCATCAGCTCAACATGACTTGTAAAATTAGTCGTATATAATACGCCTTTTACGCTCAAACTAGCTCCCTTTTTCTTACTTTTTCGGAAAAAAGTCCCCAATTTTCTAGAGGAAACTCCCTTAAAAGTCCCCAAAAGTCCTCAATTTTGGTTTTTCATAACTGTTAGACACCCTGTATAAGTAAAAAATAATCATTGCTATGGCACAAGTCAAGGATTTACAACTATTCCTCTGAATTCATGTACACTACCAAAAAGTTCGTCCACCTACATATGTAAAAAAAGGCTTCTACAGTGTAGCAGACTTCAGTAATTATTAGACGTTTGTTATTGTCAAGGAAGGCTTCATTGTCCTCAATTTCTTTGATTGCTTTTGACAGATTATTATGTCCCGTTTTGCTTTAATTTTTAAACAGAAAATCTAGCAGTATTCTGCCTGTTAGTGAGTATGTTCCTCATAATTTATGGAAAATTCAAAACGATTTTTTTTTTCTCTCACTGTGCAGTTTCTTTATTAGTTGTTCCTTTTTTTCAGTCATCACCAATCAACTAGATGATCGTATGCTCTCAACAATGCTCTCAGTTCTGCGATCCCGTTTCAACTTAAAGGAAGAATCCAGTTTAGTCATAGATTATTTAATAGCCATAGCAGAATTAGAAAGGTTTGGCATCGCTTTATGCCTGCTGTCACCGCCTGACGTAAAAGGTAAAAAATTTAATCAGTGGAAGTAAAAATTGCTTGACTTTTATGCTGATACAAAATATTGGATGGGAGAAGAATTTAATATTATTTACCTGTTGTTTTTAATTTTTTTTTTTTTTTTTTTAATCATTGGGGTCTCATCTTTGTCAACAACTAGTTCATATTTTGTTCTAGCCTGTTTATCTGGGTTTTGCTCAGGAGTTAGAAATTCATTACTCCACATTTAACGTCTCCTGTTGATCAGGAACAACGTATTTAAGAATTGAGGTCACAGAAAATTTTATGAACACCTTTTTTGAAGGAAACGGGGTAGTTTTCTAAAATATTGGTATTACATTTTTACCGTACTTATGTATACTAACTATGAGCTTCCAATTGATGGCTAACGTAGGAAACCGTGTATCTTCATTGTTTTGTTTCAAAATCTCCACTTGTAGTTTATTTTCCGGAGAGGAACAAGTCAACATTGCAGCTTGTTTATACAGAATATTCTACAAAGAGGAAAAAAAACTAAGGAAGTTTTCATGAAATTATGTCGACTAGTTAACTAATGGAAAAATAAAGTGTGGCAGGAAGTCTACAAAGTCGCAAGTGGAGGTACTTGGTTTTGCACTTTGGCCATCGACATGACAAACGCAAGTATTGCCAATCCGTTGCGTTTTCAATCAGAAGAAGGAGAAAATTTGAGCTCTTGGCTTGCAGGAAAAGAACATTGCTTTGTACAGCAGCCTCAAAGCTCTCCAATGTTTGCTGTCTGTTGGAAGACCTTTGTAAGCTTCTGGAAGTAAACTCCTTTCTTTTTTTTTTTTTTTTCTTGTAAAAGAATTTGATTTATTATGTAAACCTTGCGGCCTATCAGAATTTTCTCATTTCCTTTTTTTCTAATCTATTCCCTCTTTTTTGCAGTGGCTCGCGGATTATTCAGTGATCTTGAATCGGTAATACAAGTTGATCTGAAACGATTATCCCAATTCATCCAACTGAAGCAGGCGTATCTGTGCTGAAGAAACTGTCAGTCAGGTCTTCCTGAAAATTTCTATTGTGGTAGTTGTTCCCGTTGAAGAACCTAGGTTCTAAAATTAAGTTAAGTCGACGACCTATGAAGGTAAAAATATGTACTGTGTTTACAATTCGTTTAGCTTTTGACTAACTGAAGCTGATCTGAAAGTTTTGTATTTTCGCAGAGAAATCATCTGTGTATCACAACTTTATCACTGATCTTTTGGAATTATTGCGCTGCGAACCAAGTGCTCCTCTTCCCCCTCCCCCCTCCCTCGAGTTGTTTTTATGCAACTGGAGTTCACAAATTTTTATACTTTACTCAGAATGAAATATCATGAGATCCAAAATAACCACAAATAACTAGCTGATTGAAAATGTGTAAAATTTAGCGATGATAGTGGTCGAAAAACTTTCTGTAAAGAACTGATGCCAGCTTTTAAAATTTGATTTTGAAATGTTGAAAATACTTTGAACTTTGAAATCCCAAACCGAGCCAGTAGAATTAAACAGGGTTGTCACAGTCATGGAACACTGGGAAATGTCAGAGACTTTCAAAAAGTCAGTGAAAACCTAAAAATGTCATAGAAAACGACAAAAGTGTCCGGGGAAAATTATTAAGTCACCTTTATATGCTTTCTTTAGCGAATTTGGCGTTTTGAACACCAAATTTTGCGTAAAAGCTTTTTCAACTTATGTCTTTTTAATCATTTGGGATCCTTGATTGTCAGGCAATTTTACCTAAATGTGTGAGGGAAATGTCAGAGAATTTCATTTTCCAAATTCTGTGGCAATCCTGTGTTGGAAACACACAATTTTAGTAAAATTGTACAATGGGTTTGTTGCAGACAAGAGATAAAGCCTAATAAATTTACTCTTTATGGGTGAAATCTCACAAAAATCACGTTGGGCATGTCAAAGAAATCTGAAATCTATCCTTAGGTTGCAATCTGCGTAATTTGTAACATGCTGTTTAAGTGTCCTGCATCTGCAGGCAGTTTTTTTAGTTGCCGCTGACCAGGTTTGCATAGGCAGATGAATAAGAAAAATTAACTTGAATGAACAAACGATTTCACTCATTTTATCTATGGTATTATTTCATTCACTTTGAAGCATTTGTTTCCTTTTTTCTTCATTTTGCAAAAACTAGAGCTTTGAATCAATTGAAATATTACGCAAGGAGAGCTTCTAACACTTTGCAAGATTGTTTGTTTATTCAAGTTAGGCCTCTCTCCGGGCAAACCTGTCTGCTGGCCATCACGAAAAACTGCCCGCATGCGCAGTATATTTAAAAAAGCATATCACAAACTACGCAGATTGCGCGTCAATGAGTGGATTTCAGAATTTTTTCATGTGCCGAACGTGATTTTTAAGTGAATTAACCCTAAAAAAGTGTATATAGTTGGCTGTATCTCTTGCGTGCAACAGACCCATGTCAATGACTATGCATTAGGCCCATCAGGAAACAAAGGAAAAAGTTTGGTGTCCGCTGTAAGATGTTTAGTGAACACACTTGTCCTTATGACTAGAATTTACCTACATGAATATTTTTTTTTAAAGTACCTCAAAGTTTCTTGGAAAGCTGTGTCAGTATTTTATCTCAGTCAATACGAATATCATCACTAACTGTCATAACCCTGGTCTGCCATCATTTTAAAGTTACATAGGTAGAAATTTTAAGATGTTCCGTGAAACATCCTCAACTTAAGCTCTCCTTGAGAGCTCTGCGCACTTTTAAAATCTGAAATGTTTTTAGTCTGCTCAAGCAGAATCCATTGAGCGTCTTAATGTTTCGACCTAATAATCTAGTTTTGAATAAGACTGATCAATTTAACTGTACTAAAGTGACCAACGAATTGAACCTGTAATTGGACGTATTTCTATCAATCAAAACTATGTGCATTATGACGTTAGCCCTGATAGGCTCATATCCTTATGGGTCTCAGGGCTCATGTCTTAATGCACATAGTTCCATTTGATAGAAATACATCCAATCAGTTCTTCCCTCATTTTAACATCGCATCAATATTGTTCCTTTTTCTCTGTTACTTAAGAAGTCACATTATACATACTTGAAATTCCAATGGAGCTCTTGTATGCATGAGGGATTTGTGATGTAAGTAATTTTACCTACGTAAAATTTCACAAGAAACACGATGATGCCACTGGTTTTCTCTAAAATCAACTCCAAAGCTCAAAAAAAGCTCTCAAAGTTGAGGCTGTAATGGAGGTGATTTCCCACGCTACCCTGAGAGTCCACCTCTATATCAAGACAAACTCTATGCAAAGATAGGGAGCAAATAAATACATTAAGAGGGTTGCCACTTTGTTGAGGGACTCCAAAACTGAAAACATGGCAACCCTAGAGTCCCTTTATACTGAGAGTCAAGACAATTTGAATCCATTTCTGATTGGTTCCCGTATTTTAGGCCTCCACAGTGTCACAAACGGGAATAAAGATTACATTTTCACCAATTGCAAAGATTATAATCTGAAATGGACCAGGGAATTACGGGTTCGGCAAGGAACAAACGGAATGAGAGGAGGAACGGAGAAAGGCATTTGAGAATGGGCCGATCAAAGATTACGAAAAACGTTCAATTTCTGTAATCTTTATTCCCGTTTCTGACATCCATGAGCCGAATTGTCTTGACTCTCAGTATAAAGGGACTCTAGGCAACCCTTGCTCCGAGTTTGCATGGAGAGTTAGTTTTGATGTAGAGGTGGACTCTCAGGGTAGCGTCGGATACCCCCACAATTACAACCTCAACTGTGAGAGCTTTGGAGTTGATTTCAGAGATGACCAGTGGCACGGTCTTGTTTCTCGCAAAATTTTATGTAGGAACTAGTGCTTAAATCACAAATTCCTGACACCTGCAAGAGCTCCATTGATAGGTCTGAAAGTTACGAACACTGTTTTCTGCCAGTGCATTTGCTTAAACTCTGCCATGTAAAATTTAAAAGACTTCCCCTCAAAGCTGTAAATATATACCAAATAATATTTTTCTCGTTTAAATTGTGGCATTACAACTTGCAAATAGATCAAAGAAAACATGGAAATTCTAGATGACGACCGTTCTAGCATAATGTTACTCGATCTTCAGCTTGTAGCTATTCTGAAATTGCCTGCCTTTTAATGTATATTGCTGTTTGCCCCCAGTACATGCATATTTTAATCAAACAAACGAAGTGTCCTTTCAGGAAAAACTTTCTTTTGTGCTGTAGGAGATTTTCAGTTTTTTTTTTTTTTTTTTACTGAGACTTTCGGTCAATTATTTTTGAAAGTACTTTTGCTCCCAAAGAATGAAGTAAAACTGCCTCTGTCTGATGTATCGAAGTAAAACAATGCATAGCTCAAATTGGAATGTTGTAAGTTTCTGCCCTTGTTTTTTTCTTCTTTTTTTCTTTAAAGGAAAACCAAACAACGGTATTTATCAAAATTTCCTGTGAATTTTCTTCACTTGCTTTACAAAAATCACTTAAAATTGCAAGAAAAAATGTGTTATACTTTTCTGTGAAGAAAGTAAAACATACTTGGAGATTTCTATGTTGCAACTGAGATATGAAGCCTTTTATGTAAGAACAGCAGATGTCGCATTTTTAAGTTTTGAGAAAATCACGTTTAAAGTTTTCAAAGCTGTGCGTTTCGATGTCATATAGAGCAAATAGAGTGGCTAAAAAATTTGTTATAGAACGAGTCCTCAAAAAAATGACCTCTAGTAATTTAAATTAGAAGCGAATGTCAATGAGATACAGTGATTGTAAAGAAAGACCACATCTGCTATTTTCGCGGAGATTTTTTTTTAGGCATCTAATGAACCACCTAGTTAATATAAGAGAGGTCGAGCGATTGATATTGATCAAATTATGATCACTGTTGAGTTTTTTAATGTTTTTAAAAAAAAAAATATTCAGTAACTTCCAAAAAGAAGGAACAAACTACATTATCTGTCTTTTAAAGTAGGGAAAAAATTGAAACGGGTGCTATCTCCCCAAGACCTGCATACAATAGGTCTTATTAGCTTTTATTAATATCTTAATGTGCTTAAATCATCGCCCCTCTGACGTAAGGGCTAATCTCATTTCTTACGTGAGCCCTGTTTTACATATAGAGCCATGCTTTCTGGGTGTCATGCAAAAATGGAGATACGCCCTTACGTCAGAGGAGCGATGATATACACGATCCTTGAGGAGACTAATGAGCTTTAGCATCATTTAGCTCGAAATTTATTATTTAAACGAATGGACCACTAGACAAGGTACGAATTTTAGCATTCTGATACATGCTTCTTAACCTAAATTTCAAGTAAAACATGATGCGCACAACAAAAATTACCGAAATCAATTCTTACGAAGATATTTAATGATTCTTGATGCGTTAGTTCAAACCACCCGTTCATGAAAACTCAATGCTCTGCTTGATTCACATCGTGCGTTAAACGTTATGATGAGAGTCTCTGCAATATAAAAATCTGGCAACCTCAATCTTGACGCTTTGGCTCAGCTATAGCAAATTGCTTATAATTTGAACAACACATGGTGGGAAATGAACATTGCTCGATTGAAAAAATTGCTGAAACCGTTTTAGTGTGCGATTTGACTCACGTAGAGCTTTGAGTTTCTTGTGAGCGGGCAGTTCAAATTCCTTGTAACCAATGTGAATTAAAAACGTTAATATCTTCGTTAGGAGTTAGTTTCAGTCATTTTCTTTATGCGAATCGTGTTCTGCGTGAAATTTTGGATAAGTAACATGTATCAGAATCGTTTAATTCGTACCCTGTCTAGTGGTCCATTCTGACATCCACTGTTTTTAGATGCAGCAGGTTTTTTATTCTACTCTTAATGAAAAATTATACTAGATGTCTGAAACTTGGTACCAACACTCTTGAAGAATAGCAGATTCTAAAAAAACGTTATCCCTACAAAGTTGTTCGATATCCGCTGTTTTTACAGATATGCAGGCTTCATATGCATTTTTTGCATTTAGGCATCAATGTGTAGAAGCTTTAAAGTCCTCAAATTGATCATCCTTGAATTAAGTTGCTTGATAGAACGAATCAATATTTTTAACAAAATGTGTAAGTTTATCTCCGATTCTTATAATTCCTCACCTTAGTATAAGCGGATAAAAAGTGATTTTAGAAAAGTAAAATTGGTTATAATTCGAGACTGAATAATTAATACTGAAGTTGTCATCATATTTCTTCATTTTTTTTTCCTTAAGCATACCCACTGAGTTAAGCAGAAAGGAGCCAACTTTTTTGCTTTATATCAAAACAGCATTTTTGCCAATGGCTCTCTGATTCAAACGGGTGTTATTAACATGTCCATGTCCAACGGTTTATGTAACGAAATTCCTTTATTCTGAACTCTGTCCGTGCAATGATTTTAATTAGCCAAAGGGTCTATGAAGTATTGTTCTCGATAAGTACAGGAACATCTCCTTTGTCTTGCAATCTACTTTCATTGAATACTTCTCTTATTAGTCAAATATGATGTTATCGCCTAGCTCTCTTTCATATGTTTTAACCATTCTTCAAACTTCTAAGTTTAAAATCCCTTCTTTTTGATGACGTTTCTTTGTAGATTTTTATTCCAACAATGATTTTTAATGATTGCGGTCAAAAACTTTGAAATTTTGTTCCAATAAGTTTTGTGTCTCTTTTTATGACATTCATGAATGTGATTTTATCTCTTTAAGTTTAAGTTTTTTTTCTTTATTTCTTTTATCTTTGAATGCCCATTTAAGTTTTGTTTGTTTGTTCGTTTGTGGGTGTAAAAGTGTAAGTACTCAAGCATTGTCTGCATTATTTGTTTCTGTCAAATTTGAATCTTCTTCAACCCTAAGTTTCCTAACTTTCCTTTCAAAAAGCAGCAAAAATAGTCCGACATTATTTCTGCTGTCCTCAAAAGAATCAACAATAATTAGTTTTTGTTTGTTGATAGTTTGATTCAATTTTTCCTCTCTGAATGCCTGTACATTTTTAAAATTTCTGTATGTTTCTGTAACAAGTTTTGCATAGTTTGACTTCACAAAAACTGGGGCCAAGAGGAGAGTGCAAAAATTCATTTGATTCTTTTCGTTGAAAATTCAGCTTGTGATTAAATCATTTATTGTATTAATTTGTCCAAAGGCTATCTTGTTAAGGTAAAATCATAAAATTTCCCCAACTATGTGAGTTTACCTGTCACTGATCCACAATTTACCTATGTTCTCACTCCATGTTGTTTCATGTGTTATATAGACCTATACTTTATCTGTTATAACTTAGATTTCCATGAAAGACATTTGTTAGAAGTTTCAAGAGAAACGCTCAGCGCAACCCAAAAATGTAGGATTTTTAAAACAAAAAATCCAAAACTTAAGAAGCACTCTCGCAATATTTATGCGCAAATATTGTAATTTCAGTTCAATTCGAATTCGTTCCGTGAAAATATTTTCAAATTGTAGGTATTATGCTTTTTCAGTTGTTTCCTTGATTTTTTTTAAATTTAGTGATACCAATGAATACCTTGTATGAACAAGGATTCAATCGTTTGATCTTCTATTGCAAAGCTCCGCTAATAGCTTGCATTAGGAGATGTAAATTTCGTGTATAAATAAATTCCTGAAACTGCATTGCAACTGTCTTTCTCACTTTTTTCACCTATTACTGATTTGTGACTGTCCATACAAGAAAGTACCCTATTGTTGAGAAACTCAAAATTGAGGACTTGGGTTCGAGAAAGGCATTTCTCTGTTACGGTTTTTTGGAATTGCCACTGACGTTTTTTTAAGAAAGGTCATGAAACTTGCGCTTTGTGCTTTGGAAATCGTTTAATTATGAGAAACCCTCAGTTCAATTTCTATCTCTTCACAAGCATTTTTCCCCCTGATAAGACAGAAAATGCAAACGGAGATTAAGCAATCGAGAACTGCTCTTTTTGAACCCAAGTTCTCATGACATTATGGTACCATTGTTTGAAGGTGTCCTGTAAGATGGGACAGTCGTAAGGCACTTTTACGTGGCCACAGTAGAGTTTGCTCTATGAAAAATTTTGTGAAAAAAAACCTCAAATCTC